TCAGTGTCCCCTCCCTGCGCGGACTGCGCGGGCTCTTTCTCGGGGCTGCTGCTGTGGACGGCCTCCGAGTCAATGGTAAACCTGTTTCGGGCCAGCCGCCGTCTCCTCCTCCCCAGAGACTTGCTCGGGGCTGACACTGCACACACAAAGATAAAACCCCACAGGTGTTTTACACACGGCACAACTCTGGGCCAAAGCTAAGTGCTGTCGGGGCCCGCGTCCGGCACGGGCAGGCCCAGCGCGGCCCGGTCACCCCCGGCAGCTCCTCGGCACGAGGCGCCCGCACGGGCAATTTCTGCTGCTCAGATCCACCGTGTGACAGACAACAGCCCTCAACTGCTGCTGCTCCTGAGTCCTGGCCAGCACCAGCGGCCTCAGCTCAGCTTCTCGCTCGCATCCCCCGCAAAATCCAACAGCTTCACACCTCGGAGAGGGAAATGTGTCCGGCCTCAGAGCAGCACTACGGCTTTCCCAGTGGCTACAGCAGCGCCGAGGATGCTGCGTCAAAGACAGGGAATCACGTTCCCTGTTCAGGCTCTGCTACTCCCTTCCTCTCTCCCTCCCTGCTGGGCGAGGAAAAAAGCAATCCCCCAACCCATGAGAGTTAGCAGAAGCTCCTTCCTCAGCATCTACTCAGCAACTGGCCCAATTAGCAAATTCCCATCTTGTGTGTCAGAACATCTTCCCAAGCAGGGGCAAATCCTGCAGCTGGCGGCTCTGCAGGCACTGCGGTGCTTCAGGGGCACACACAGAGCTCTGAGGTTGGAGTTTGCTGCCCTGCACTGACAAATATACAGCTCTGCCTTGGGGCTGAGGTCATTTTAGTGTCCCTGAGCCTCAAGGTGCACTAAGTACAATGGCTCAGCAATTGCAAATTTTATCTGTAGGGGGAGGCCTGGACTGCAAGGTGGGATTTCAATCCCTGCAGAATTTTCATGGCACACTGAAAGGAGGTCTGGCATCTCCAGCAGCCAGGGCCAGCTGGAGCCAGGGCTCACCCCGAGTGAGAAGCTGGGCTCAGCTGCTGTTGGTCTGGCCTGCCCTGGTCAGAGGAGGAACAGAAAGCTTGGCTGTCTACAGTGCTGGATCTAATGAGCAGAACAAGAAATAAACAACAGACCAGAACAAAACACGCAGCGGTGCCGTGTACTTTGCAGATGGAAGCAAATACTTCTTCCCTCCAGCATCTAGAGTTCTGAAAATGAAAACCTGCTTTTCCCTGGGATTTTTTCACTGCTTTTGCCTGAAGTCAACTGAAAAGGAAAATCCATGGTTTAGGACAGGCCATTACAAAAATCAGAGTACCAAGTGCACCTCCAAATGTGGGAAGGAGGAGCACGTGCCCTCTGGCAATTGAGCTGAAAAGGCTCAGGTGGAGGACACCCACAGCTGCCCCTTCAAACCAAGCTCAGGGGAGCTGTTTTCCCTTGTGCATTTTAGTTCAAAAGTGCTCGAGCTACCTCAAAATTCTGTACATGCTTTTAAGAACCACACAGCTTCTGCTCTGTTCAGCTGACCCCCAGTTCAGATTAAAGTGCACAGCCCATCGGTACTGTCAGGAATCCCATTTCCCTTCCACGCCAGAAGCACTGCTCTGAAGCTGAGCCTTGAGTGCAAAGCAAGGTAAACAGAGGCAATTTAAGGCTCTCAAGGAAGTGAAGCATGGAAAAACCTGCAGATTTTACATATACAGGAGAGAACGCTAATCCTAATATACAAGTGACAGACACCACCACGCGTCCTACAACGGTGCTGGGGTTACTGGGATCTTGAAAGTCTGTAGCCCTACAGTACCTGCCCTGTTCATGGCTGGCCTTGCACCTTTTAGAGCACACAATCTTTTCCCACCAAAAGGAACGTATTGCTGGGATGAGGGCAAACTTTCGGTTTTAAGGAGCTGTCTTCTGTGTTTGTCCCGCAGGATGGAGTGCACTGCCTTCAGAAAGTCCTTCCTGTGTTCTGGAGAGCTGAAAAAGAGGTGGGAATACAAAAGGCAGAGTTACTCCTTGGGAACTGCTAAAAGCTGGCTGTAAATGAGGTAAATCATGGCCAGTTCTGTGATTTAAGACAGTACAAATAGACTGGCAGGCACTTCCCCTGAGAAGACTCCACTGAACTCAGTATTTTCAAAGCAAAGCTAAATCCATGGTCACTGCAGTGGGCATCCAAGGAAACCAATACCCAGGTCATTAATAAAACATTCAGCCTTTCAACCCTCTTGAGGTTTCCTTTCCCTGCAGTGCCACCCACACGTGGCTGTGTCTGACACACATCCAGTGACCTGTGGTGCTCAATCTGTCCCTGCAAGCACACCCCACAGCTCCTGCAACTTTCCCTAGAAGTAGGAACTGCCTTGGCATCAGCTCTGTTGGATCCTGATGAACTTGTGTTCCAAGTTCTTTACTTGAACCCGAAAAACATGCCAGGGCAACCACCACCACAACAATGGATGTTTATTGAAGGGAAGGCAGTGTCCCAAGTGCAGAGGCTGGGACCTGGTGCCATCAAAGGAACCACCTGAACACACCACCTGCCACAAAGACCCACTGGAAAATTGCAATATGGTTTTTCCTACAAAGGTGCAAAGCTAATCAAGTTATATGCCTTTATTTTCAGAGACTGTACTAAATTCTACCTTCCAGAAGCAAGGTTTTAACACCCTCTCCCCACTCTCCCTCACTGGCTGGTCCCAGATTGCCTCCAAGGAAAGACAAGCAGGGATGCAGAGATGCAGCTGCCACAGAAAACAGGGAAACCCACTTACCTACAGCAGAGGTGAAATGTCCTTTCTGGCCTGCCCTCAGACTCAGATTTGACGTGGACAATCTCACACACAGAATTGGTCTCTGCATCTAAAGGGAAAACCAAGCAGAACTTCATGTCTACCTTCAAGCTGAACTCCAAAGCATTTACTGCATGATCAGGGAAGGCCCCCAGGCCACACATTCAAAGCCTGGCAGACTCCAGCTGTGGGAACATTACCTGCACTGGCCAGGGCCCGCACCTGCAGCGCTTCCAAAGGGATCATGTGGCGAAACCGGAACGGATCCCAGTCTTCGTAGATTGAGGCTCTGTGTGATCCTCCCTGGAAGAATTTCAGACACTGTCAGGAAATGACACCCTGGGGCAGGCAGACAGTCCTGTGCTCTGTGCTGAGGGCTCCCTGCTGCAATCCTGGTTTCCTCATCCCAACACCTCCCTGGGGGGCCTCTCTCTGGAGACCTTGCTGATATCTGGATTAAAGCAGCCCTAAGGCCCATCAGCTCTTAGCAACATCCTCCAAAGCCACCCAGCCCAGCCCTGGGTGCACACACACTTGGGAATATGTCAGAGTTCTGCTTCTCACCCTGAAGTCACCCTGTGCCTGCTGCCTTTTCCTATGCAGGCACCTCAAAGCCCTCTCTGGTTTATGCCATGGGCAGGGATTGCTCGTTTCCCTGTATCACTACAGACTGTGCCCCTGCTGTAGCACTGCCAAGCTCAGCTTTAACTTGGAATCCCAAACTCCAGCGGGATCCCTGAGCCGCTCCTGAGGGGGCTGAGAGCAGCCAGCACTTGCTTGGTGGCACATGACAGCCAGGGCATTGTGTGAGGTGACAGACAATAATCAGCTCTCAGACACTCACACACACTGACCAAAGAACCTAAGCCAAGAGACACACTGGCAGTACATCTTCATCCAGGACAATCCACCCACAGCAGGGAATGGCTGTGGTAAGCATGGCAACAAAGGATAAAGGAATGCTTGCTGTGCCCACCCAGCTCCTCAGACACCAGGGACCACATGTGCCAGAACACATTCCAGCTCCACAGCTTTGTGGAAATCAAAACTCCATCACAGCCCCAGAAACGCCCACCCACACAGTCCCTGCACACTTACGAGTTTCTTCTTCTGTTTGGAACCATCCTTGTACACAAGGACCACGGCAGTTTTGAACACTGGAGGAGAAAGTTAGAGACAAAAGCTATGGAGTCACAGAATCCCAGAATCTCAGGACAGCTGGGGTTGGAAGGGACCTCTGGAGCTCACCCAGTCCAACCCCCCAGCCAAGGCAGGGTCACTGGCTCAGGTGACACAGGAATTTGGGAGTTTGGGATGTCCCCAGAGAGGGAGACTCCAGGCCCTCCCTGGGCAGCTGTCCCAGGGCTCTGCCCCTCCATGGCCAGAAGTTCTTCCTCAGGCTGAGGAGGAACTTGTTGTGTTTCAGGTCACGGCCACTGCTCCTCATCCTGTCACTGGCACCACTGAGCAGAGTCTGGCACCATCCTCTGAGATCCCTGGGGGTGTTGGTGTGCACTGAGGGGATGTTGGTGTGCACTCAGGGGATGTTGGTGTGCACTGAGGGGATGTTGGTGTGCACTGAGGGGATGTTGGTGTCACTGAGGGGATGTTGGTGTGCACTCAGGGGATGTTGGTGTGCATTGAGAGATCCCCTCTCAGCCTTCCCTTGCCCAGAGTGACCAGGCCCAGCTCCCCCAGCCTCTCCTCAAGAGCATCCGTAAGGCTTGGAATGGGTCTCCTCTATTCCCAAACCTTTAGCCTGAGGAAGGAGAACTACCAGAGAGCAGAACTGAGCATTGCAGCACAGAGACAAGCCCATGTTTAAATTCCAGCCAACCCTGGGGAAGGTGATGCTCAGTTACTTTTTAGGCATAGCTGTCAGTCTTTAAGGCATCTGAAATAAAAGTCCTGGGATACAAACCGAACGCTGCCAGCTCAGGTTCCTTCTTCCACTTGCCCAGGGAAGCAGGAGGGTTCAGCCATATCACTGTGTTATGCAGGAGCAAGTCCCCCATGGAAAGGTCGGCGACCTGCCAACACCAACACATGCACAGACGTGAGGGTTTTAATCAGCTCAAGGAATCTGATGTGGGTTTGCAGCTCAAGAAAACCTGCATGAAGTCTAGTCCTGAACAAAATTCCCCCCAGCAAACTTCTGGAGTATTTCATCAGCTGACTACACACAGATGCATGTAAACCCTTAATTAATGAGCATAAATTTGGCTAAGTTAAACTCAAGAGTCCAGCTCTTGGAAGCCAGGGTCAAAACCAGGTATTTTTTTTGCCTTTTGTTCCCCTTTGTCCATTTCTCTCCCTACCAGTTTCTTAGTATTTTGTTGGAATATTTAAGCACGTATTCAGTTTGGGGTAAAGTTTAGGGACTGCATCAGATGCAGTGGCCAAAGCACCCCCTTCCCACAATTGCTGTGGCTCTTGACTTTGCCCAAAGGCTCCTCTATGGACACCACATTGCTGGGAACAGACTAAGAAAGGAGTGCCCAACTGCTGGGGGATGCAGCAAGCAGACCTTTCTCCTTATGATCCTGCAGAGTGACAAACTGAGGGCCATCCCTAGGCCAGGGGGATGTTATCCCATCCCTCCACCCTCCCCTCAGTGAAGCCCGAATTCAATCCAATGCAATTCAGATCTTGAACTGAGCTGGGATTTATTTGTTTGCACCAGGATTTACTTCAATGGCACAGCAGGAAAGGCAAATACTGGATCCAGTTTAGCAGGCAACACAATAACAGCCCTTTCCACTCTACATCTGATTGTTACCTCTTTTTTCTCCCCTGTTTGTTCTGCTATGAGTTGGTCAAACACTGCCCCATATTCTTCATGGATTTTCTGCATTTCATTAATGTGGCTGGCAACTTTGTTCATTGTTTTGATGGCCACTGGAAGAGAGACAGGGGATGAGCAAAACAGAATTTTAACTCTCTGAGAGGAAAGGAGGGCAGGAGGTTCAAGAGCAGAGGTGAACCAGAGAAAAGTGGGGTTAGGTCCTTACCATCAAGGTGATAATGTTCTTCACTATCCACATCAGTGAGAGCAAAGAGCTCCTTGAGCAGGAGGGGGTATTTGAGTATCCTCTGGATGGGTTTGATGAGGTAAGACTCCAGGGTGGAGGAGTGCTGCCGGCGCGGGTTCTGGGCATCCAGGAACGCCTTGAAAGCAGTGTCTGTCTTGGCTGCAAGATTCAAAGGAAGCCATTGGATCAATGAAAAAGCCTAACTGCTGCCCTGAGAAAGTGACTTTTCCAGGTTTAAATTGGTTTATCTGGAGACATTTTGTAAGGAAGTGCAGATTTACTGGGCTTGCAGAATTAGATTTACACCCTCCAGGATTTGAGTCACTGACACTCTCCCCGGATGTGCTATTTAGGATTTCACAGCAGGCATCCACCTCCAGCACGGGCAATTTTTAATTTCACTATCCATGATAGAATTTCCTGAGTGGGAAGGGCCCCACAAGGATCACCCAGTGCAGCCCCTGTCCCTGCCCAGACCCCCCAACAACCTCACCCTGGGCATCCCTGGCAGCGCTGTCCAAAGGCTCCTGGAGCTCTGGCAGCCTCGGGGCCGTGCCCATTCCCTGGGGAGCCTGGGCAGTGCCAGCACCCTCTGGGGGAGGAACCTTTCCCTAAAACCCAACCTAAACCTCCCCTGGCACAGCTCCAGCCCTTCCCTGGGTCAGTCCCTGTCCCAGGGAGCAGAGACTGAAGCTGTCTCTTGGGAGGAGCTGCAGACAGCACTAAGTATTTCTGGCAACTATTTTAGAGCAGCACGAAGTGTTTTAATCATCTGTTCCCTTTCAGCAAAGTCTCAAATTGGACATTTGTGAGAAGTCACTACTTCTAAGCCATGATGCACCCACAATATTGGCAAGTCTGGCTCTTGTTACCTCATTAAACCTTAAAATGCAGCACTGAGTCACAACAACCATCGGGAGCTGGCGAGAGGCAGGAGCTTCTAATGCACCAGATTTTGGGAACATGGGCAGACTGGACAGCTGATTGCCATCATCTTTTCTACCTGACTGCTGTAAATTTACAAAACTGCCATTTTTTCTGTTGCTCCCTCCACTGGAGCATAAGGAGGGAAGGAAGGAGGAGGTGGTATTTATAGATATACAAATTATTCAGTGCAGGAGCAATTCCACACAATTGCTTTTATTAGAGTCGTGTCCCCTGCTGGGGTTGGGGGATTTTTGCAGGCAGTCCCCTGATTTCCATAAAGCAACTTGAGTTTCAAATGCAAAAGCCACCTGCACCTCAGCTGAGGACACCAAGTGACACCTGAAATACACTCCCAGGCTTTTTAAGAGATTTACCTCTGGAATAGAATTCTGAATTCTGTTTATGCCACAATTCAAGCACAACAGTTTCTTATTTATAAACACAGTCAGCAATAGAAAAGAAAAGCAAAATAAACAGATCTACCTAGTCTACCAATAAAATAACACCAAAAGAAAGCATGGATGTGACTAGCAACAAATCATTTCTTTATGTATTCCACAGAACTGCCAAGTATACTTTGCAGCACAGGGAGTAAGAAGTTTACAAGCAGAAATGAAAAAAAGAAAAGTGCACAGAAAAAAACATACCAAAAACACCACCCAAAAAAACCCAAACCAACCAAGAAGCAAAAGGACTCAAAATCTTTGACTGTCAGACATCCAGATGTTGTTTGAAAAACAAGAGTTCCTCCTTCAGTGGCATTGCTGCTACAACTGGAGCCATTTGTTTGTTTAATGTCTTGGCCAAAAAGGAATTGCATGAAGCACTGGTAACTCCAGGAGATTTACACTTCCACAGGGGAAAACATCCCTGCAAGACAAGCTGGCCCAGGAGCCAGACCACAGGGCTTTTATCTCCAACTCAGCAAGCCAAGCTCTGCTAGGAATTCTGACAAGGGAACTTCTCAGACAAATTGGAATGAAGGAGGGAGAGAGAGGACTAAAATATTTCTCCAGCTTCCAAGAAACATTCTCCCAGGCTGATCCTCTCCTAGTGGCTGGGGCTTCCATGGGATTGCCACCAGCAAGGATTCCTGGCACAGCCTCCAGGAGGATCCAGGGGTCACTGCAGAGCCACCACTCCTGGTTCCAGAGCACGCAGTGACGCATCAGCACAGAGCCACGATGGGATTCCCATTTAGGAAATCTTCCCACATGACTGAAAACAAACCAAACACAGCAAGGGAGAAGGAACAAAACATGGGAGGAGAAAAACTGCAAGCAAGGTGAGCCACCTCCTGTAACGAGCTGCTCAGGTGTCACCATGGGGTGGTCCCACAACACCCACGGCACAGAGCGCTCCGGGAGCCTCTCCAAGCTTATCTCCCTACTCCAAAGGCTCCTGGAGAGCAGCCAGGCACATGTGTGCCCCCATTCCTGCCCTGAGAGGTTTGGGGTGCCGTGAGCACAACCAACATGTGGCTGTGACGGCTCTGAAAGGGGCTCTTACCTTTCACCAGGACTTTGGGGACTTTCGTGTGGCTGGCACAGAAGGCACTGTACAGCTTGAACCTGTCAGCGTAGTACAGGAAGGATCCACCCAGGGAGAACAACACTTTCTGGGATTAAAAGAAAACAAAAGCATTAGGAAAAAGGTATTTAGTTACTCTGCCTTCAGCCAAGTCATCTGAGGCTTCCACCCAGCTTTTGGAGGACAGGACAACGCAGTTTTAGTGTGTTTGCACACCAAGACATCAATGCTGGAGTGAGCCCAGAGGAGGCACCAGGATGATCAGAGGGGTGGAGCAGCTCTGCTGGGAGGAAAGGCTGGGAGAGCTGGGAATGTTCAGCCTGGAAAAGAGAAGCTTTGGGGTGACCCCCTTGTGGTCTTGCAGTGCCTGAACGGAGCCTGCAAAGAAGATGGAGAGAGACTCTTGACAAGGAGCTGGAGTGACAGGACTAGGGGAACGGCTTCAAACTAAAAGAAAAGTAGGTTTAGATGGGATATTGGGAAGGAGTTGTTCCCTGGGAGGGTGGGAAGGCCCTGGCACAGGGTGCCCAGAGAAGCTGTGGCTGTCCCTGGATCCCTGGAAGTGTCCAAGGCCAGGCTGGACAGGGTTTGGAGCAGCCTGGGACAGTGCAGGGGGTGGAACTGGGGGATCTTTGAGGTTCCTTCCACCAAAACCATTCTTTGATGGTTTTTATCCACCATGAAACAGGGCTAGCCCAGGTGTGTGGATTCAGCCTCTGCAATTAGCATCATCAGCCAAGTCCCATCCTGGAGGCAGCACTAACTCCACAGGGACTGGGCTTCCACCTCCAAAGCTCTGTTTAAAAGCTCCACTGACCTCAGCAATGGCCAGAGGCCACAGAGAGGACTGGATGTGCCTGACCCTGCAATGGATCAGGGCTCTGGGCAGCTGCAAGCAACACTCATCCCTCACAAACACACCAAGGGGCTCACCTGCTTGGAAGTGAGCTGGTGCTCAGGGCCAGACACAGTCCCAAAATGTCTTGGGAACCAGACAGCACCCACTGAGGGGCTGAGACCACACGTGGCAGCCTGGGGACAGTGAGTGGGAGAGGGGGAAGCAAACTGCAGAACTGAAACCACAGAACCCCACATTTCACACCCTGCTCTCAGACAGGGCCCAGGGGCAGAACTCAGAAAGCGAGCTCAGTGCAGTTTTCATGGGAAGAGCTGGAAGCAGCAGCATTCAGGAGATGGAGTTTTCTCTGGAAGGACCCTTCACTGGCACTCTTATAGAGCACACAGGCACCAGAGGAATTATTATTATTATTATTATTATTATTATTACTATTACTATTATTATTACTGTTACTACTTATCCTGTCCTTTACCAAGGTGAGTGGTGCTCAGAGCCAGAGTGGAATTCCCCAAAGGAAAAACATTCTATCATCTCCTTGCCATGCCTCCACTGCCTTAGATGCAAAATGAAATTTGTTTCTACATTTCTCTGGGTTTTAAATGAAGCTCACAGAGGCACAGTTTACAGTTCTACCTGTGAAGATGCACACCTGCTGCAAGCCAGAAGTATTTGCCACCATGGAGTGCAAGTGAAAATACGAAATTCCACATATTGTTCTGATCTGCAGCCCCAGAGGGCTTCTGAACATGAGACTTGTCAGGACAAAGATTTTATGTAACTTTCCATTTCTAGCATTTCCTGACAGCTCAAGGCAAGAAATCTGGCAGAAGGGCAAGAATAGAACCAAAAAGCACATGGTTTCTAGTGCTCTATATGGCTAAATGCAGCATAAACTACAATTGCAGCAGGAAAATTTTTCAGCAGCACCAGCATCAGCTGAAAATTAATCTTAAATTGAAGCAGATGCAGGTTTCTACATGAACAGTGGCAAGAGTCAGAAAAATGTGATGAAGAATGTTAAAGGTCTCCTCAAAATTTAAACAAGACAGTGCAATTAATGTGTTTTTAATACATAAAATAAAACATTTTTTACCTTGAATTGCTCAACTTTTTCAAGCTTTTCCAGGTCTGGAACCAGCCTTACTCCATCTTCCAGAGTTTTCAAGAACTCTACCTGGAATGCTACCATTTCAGTCAGATTCCCAAAGAGAACATCCAGCTAATAAAGAAGAAAAAAAAGCAGAATGCTGAAAATATCACTTTGAGGCTAAACTGTGTTTTCTCTAACTGCAGCAATTCTCAGTCCAATTGTATAATCAATGTGGTGTCAGGAAGAAACAAGCTGCAGACATTACTGAGCAGCACCTCAATGCTCTACTTAATCCATTATTTGAAGGAAATGGAATTCAGTGAAATTAATTTCAGTCAAACAAGCCCAGCTGGGTGGGCAGAGTGGAGGGGCAGGCAAAAGCTCTCTTCAAGCGAAGGTCAGCATACCTCATCTGGCGTGAGGAAGGTTTCTTTCTGTAGAGGCTTCAGGTATCTCTCCATCAGACAATTTAAGTCCTAAAAATTCAGAAAAAGATTCCCACGTTGGTCCCTCTGGATATTTACTGAGGTGGCAAATGCTGCTTACCTAATCTGAGAATTTTTTCCTTTTTACATACAACACGAAATAGCCGGATCGCACACAATTTCAGGCAGCAAAAGGAAATGTTTACACACTTCTAGTCAAAGCCAATAGCAGATCTCAGCGAGCAGTAATTGCTCACCAGCTAAGCCCTTTCAAAAGGAAAACAGCCTAAGCACTTGGAGATGCCTTATTTCAGTGGCTGAAGCTGTACCTTAGGCACAGCTTGTAGAACTGAGTTCAGCAGCAGACACGGACACGACACCCAGCCTGAAGCAGCAGAGCAGAAAGCAAGAGAGCTCTGCAGGAAAGCTGGGGCTGAGCCCCCTCACCTTGACGTAGGTACGCTCGGTCTCCAGGAGCTCACAGATGACCTTCCTCAGCTTGTCTGCGTCCGTGAGCTGCCTCATGGTGCTCAGCTGGGGCCCTGCACAGTCCTGGGGGGGAGCACTGCAGTCAGAGGGGTTCATTTCATGCAGACTGCGACAGAAAGCTGCGACCTGCTCTGTGCTCTTTGGAGAGAAGGGAGAGGAAAGAGCAGTGGTAACATTGGAAATCAGAGCCAGAGGAACGAAGGGGCTGAGGAGGGTTTGCATCTGGGCAGTGGCAGCTTGGGGACCTTTCAACAGGCACCACAAGTGTCTATCCTGTCTCTCTGTAACTGGGGATAAAGGAAAAGAAAGGAGTAGCAGAATTCAAATCCTCCATTCCTGGTTTCAGACACATAATTTTCATTAAAACAGCTCCGTCCAGCACTTAACATTGACAAACTCACAGAAAGGGCCAAGAATGGGGAACCAAAAACACCTGGGCAAACCAAACACACACCCCAGCCCCCTGCCAGTTCTCCAGTCAGGGCTGCAGCATCCTGTGACACACTGGCACAAACCACTCCTGCTGGGGTTTGGGCAAGCAGAGCCTCCCAGCTAAAGCCCCTCCAGGCACCAAGCACGAGCTCTTTGGGAAAGCAGCTGGATCCCTAAGCTGTGTCTGGGAATGTGCCTCCCAGGGTGAACTCCTTCCCCATAAGTGCCGCTTCCCAGAGCTGCTCCATCTCGCCGCTTCCTTTAATATTTAATCAGCTGCCTATATAAAAAGCCAGTTATCCTCACTTCACCCCCTCGTGTTAGATCATTTCCTCACATCTTTCATTACACCCAAGAGTTTGGAATAGGAATAGTCTCTGGTGTCAGTGACGACAGCCCCAGGCTTCCAGGATTGCCAAGGCAGCCGTGGGCTGTTCTCCATCCCTCCCAGAGACCTGGAGGGAAAAGAGCTGCTCCAGTGACCACACCTGACAATCCTGCCAGAGGATCTAATCCAGGTTCAGTGATTTCCCAGCACTGCCTCTACAACCCCCAGCTCAGCAATTTCTCCATGGAAAGAGTAGACAGGCACTGGCAGAGTCTCCCAGGGAGGTTTGGGGTCCCCATCCCTGGAGGTGTCCAAGGAATTCCTGGAAGAGGCACTCAGTGCTCTGGGCTGGGTGACAAAGTGAGGATTTGGCACAGCTTGGACTACATTGTCTCAGCGGTGTTCTCCAATATGGGTAACTCTGTAATTCTGTGAAACAACTGACTCAAAATCAGCCTGTTCAACCAGAAAAATGTAAAGAGAGCAGAGGAGAAAAAAAACTAACCAAAAAAACCCAAAAAAAAGCCCCAAATAAACAAAACAGAAAAGAAAAAAGAAAAAAGGGAAAAAAAAGAGGAAAAAAAAAAGAGAAAATAAAGCACATCCCCACCTTGCAGTGGAGACAAAGCTCTGCCCCTGGGACATCACTTCACTCCCACCCACTGGTAGTTGTGATCTCCATGTTTTTAAAGCCATGCAGTCTGCTCACACAGAGCTATTTCCTCTCCATGCACATACAAGCCATGTTAGGACAAGGAAGGATTTCTACTCCCTTTCCTTAGAGGTCTCTTGGGACTGCAGATGCTCCCCTGAGGTCTCTGCACAGCACATGAGCAAAGATGCTCATTACACAATGGATCATTTTCTTCAGTACACAAGTAAGCCAGGAACTCATTGTAACTGGCTGTCAACACAAAACTGCCTATACACTTTATTACAGGGAAATTATTCACCTTCAGTTCCTGAGGTTTAACTCAGGTGTGAAAGAAAGGAAAAATACTGCAAGTTGAGGGCAGGAGGAAGCTGTGAGTTGGACCAGTCCATCTCCAACTCACTCTACTCCTGGCATGCGTCACTGAGATTTGGGATTTACTAATCTTAATTTTTCAATAATTCCTGTTATTTCTCAGCAAGATTCCACCTATACTTGCTGTGCTTTTAAGTATAAAGCACACCCAAACTTTTAGATTAGATCTGCATCAGATTTCAGCAGTTGTGACCTTGATCCCAACAGCCCCAAATCCACCAAGGGCAGTAGGTGAAAGCCTGGCTGCAGCACAGGTTAAAGCACCTTCCCAAGTCCCCTGCTCTGCTGGGAAGGCACAGAGAGCTGACAGCTCAGCTACAAAAATGTGAGCCTGCAGAGCCCTGGGACAGGCAAGGGTTTGCTCAGCAACATTTGGCTTTGTTAGCACTGCTTAAGGCAGACGTGTCCAGTGGTGTTTTGCTTTAAGATCCAAATGTACAAATAACACCAGCTGTAACGCATAAAGCACAATCTGGAATCAAACCCCAGAATAAACCAAGTGTTTTAAGCAGTTCCTGCCTGCCACCCCATCCTGTGCACGCTCCTGCAGGGAAAGATGGGTCACCCAGAAAGAGAGAGCGAAAATCTGCTCGGGGTGTGAAACACCAGCTCAGCGCTGAAGTTGAAATAACTCCCAGAGACATGTGGTGCGCCCCAGCAGGAGCAGTTACACCCATATGGCAGGAAGGAAGTGGGGAGGACTTCCCAAAGCCTTATCTCCACTTGTGCACACTCAATAAACCGCTGGTGGCTCCAGCCACAGCCCTGCCCCGCACCTCCTGGGAACCGCCCCCAGATCAGCACACCCCTGGGGCAGTCTCCAGCTCACTCATCTTCACAAACCTCTTCTGGTGCTTGTCCATGGAACAAATGGCTCTGGGTGTGACCACACCTGAGTGGGAAGGTCTCCCAAGGTGTTCTCCTCAAGGCTGAGGGTTCCTGGCCACCACAGAGCCCTGGCAAGTGATTAGGACACTTTGTATTGTCAGCCAAGGGCTATAAAGCTGTGCATATATCATCCTTCAGACATAAACCACTGACCAAGTCTGGGACTAAAGCAGATCCAGCTGCACCTAAACCCTGAATTTAGCCATTCAGAGCGTCCCTTCTGACCCTCATGCCTCAATGGCAGGTTGCAGTAAACAACTGAGTGAGCCTCACCATCAAGCCTTGTTAAACCATCATCGTATTGACCAGCAAACCTGGTTCCCTTATCAGACCCTAACAATAAAAATATTGTTGTTTCTCTCCTAGAACTAAAATGCACGAGTCCACCTGCGACAACTGCTGCGCTTCATCCCCGAGCACAACCCTGTATTCCCCTTAAAAAGTCCCTTTCCAGACACAAAGCAGACACACATTGCACATGGGGGCTTCAGGGCACAGCTACTTTGGTGAAAACTCTCAAGCAGATTTCACAAAAACCCCTCTGCCCCCATTTTCCCAGAGAAAGTGGATGGAGTAGGGGAGGTCTGGAAGAGAAACAGATCCTTTTATCTCCCTGCACCAGCTCTGCCAGCAGTGACAATGACAGCACTAAACCAGGATTTCTCTAGGAGAATTACAGCATCACACTTCAGGCACAATCCCACAGGCAATCCCTTCAAGCAAGCTGGAAATGAGACCGAGGGCTGCCACAACCGGGCTGAAAAGCGGAGTTCACAAACATTAACCCCCTGCTCGGGAAGGGGCTCAGCAGAGGAGCCAAGATCACATCCCTCCCGCGGAGGAGGATCAAGGACATCCACCACAAGCACAGCGGGGAGCTTTGGCTGCCGAAAGCCCTTTCCTCCCGTGTTTGCCATGCCGGGTGCCTGGGCATCAGGAGCTCTCCCCTGGAACGGCACAGCTCACCTCTGGCCAGCAGCGCCCACCCGAACAAAGCCAGGCAAGCCGCATCCTTGCAGCACGGCAACAAAGAGCCCCCGCAGGGCACACACCTCGCAGCTCAGCCATTCGAACCCGCACGATCCCCTAAGCGCCGGCTCCTGAGCCCATCCCCTCGCATCTGCTCACCAGGTACAGCATTCGGAACAGGGAGTCCCCGTCCCTGCCGGCGCTCTCGCTCCGCAGCTTTCGGTTCCCCCTCCAGAGCGCCGACATGGCCGGAGAGGCTGCGGGGCTGTCACCGAGCCGGCGGCACGGGCCCGGGGCTGCACATCCCCAGCTGCTCCGAGGGCTCCCGAGAACCCCGAGCTGCTCCTCCCGGGCACCCCGAGCTGCTCCTGCTCCTGCTCCTCCCAGGCAGCTCCTCCCAAGCACCCCGAGCTGCTCCTGCTCCTTCTGGGAGCCCCGAGTTGCTCCTGCTTCTGCTCCTCCCAAGGACCCCGAGCTGCTCCTGCTCCTCCCGGGCACCCCGAGCTGCTCCTGCTCCTCCCGGGCACCCCGGCGCTCTCCGTGCGAGCGGGGCAGGGCAGCACAGCCTCCCCTCCCGTGCCATCTGCTCACCGCGGATCCCGAGCCGGGTGCTGCCGTGGGCTGCAATGGAGAGGAGCGGGGAATATGGGGAATATGGGGAATATGGGGAATATGGGGAATATCAGCTGCCGGCGGCTGAGCAGAGCCCGCTGGCTGCGAGCGGCGCTGCTCGGGAATACCAAACAGCGCAGGGACGCGGCACCGAATGAAAGGAACTTAAAAGAGCCGGTTCTGCCGCTGGGAAACCGACCCCGCCAATCCCCCTTTTAATCCTTTCACGTCTACCGCAACACACTGAAGGTTTGGAGACTTACGACGGTCTGGAGTAATGCTGCAGAGAGCAGCCGACCTACTTTTCTTGGAAAAAAAATCCCTCCGAGTGGCAGAGGCGCGCACACACAGAGCCCATCAAGCACGCTCCCCCAGGCTGCCAGGTAACTGGCCTTCACTGCCACAGGCAGATGTCTGCAATTAGAAACACGGAGAAACCGGTGGCCCGCAGCAATTTTAACTGCTGACACTTCTTACAACACATCCCCAGTTAAATTCGAAGGACCACGGCAGGAAAAGAAAATACACAGAGATTGATTTTGATGTTCAATACAACACCTATTTTAGCCTTTGGCAACCTGCAACATCAGGAACTCCTATACTCGATTTTTTGGCTACCCCCCTGGAACCTCACTATTGAAAAGGCCAAAATAATCAGGTCACCAGAGGGGCAAGTAACCATTGAAGAAATTACTCTGATGTGAAATGTTTCTGATGCTCTGTTGAATAGAGGCCGACAGAGGGGCGTGCCCCCCATTTCATAAACAGCCTGAAATTTGGTTCTAGATGAAAACAAGCCTGAAAAGGTGGCAGAGAGCAGGCTTTCCTTTCCCCCACTCTTCTCCCTCCCAGCTCTTTCCTCTTGGCTCCTACATGAAATGGGGACAGAAAGGAAAGCCAGAAGTCCACCCCAGAGCAAAAAGAACTTGTAGAAAACCTCAGGCCAGGGCCAGTTGCATGGCTTAAGGCAAAGGGTTGCACCTGGAAAGTGCCTTGCTTGCCACCCTTCACACAGATGTCCATCCCTAGAGATAAGAGGGTGAAATTAGATAGGGAGTGAGTTCAGAGAACAGCAGCTATCCCACACCACTGACACCTCAGCCCACCTTGGAGATGGGTTTTTTTACCAGAACAGACACAGACACCTCCCTTATTCCCTTATTCTCGATAATGGAATCATTGACAACGGCAATGGAGAAGAAAGATCTGCATTATCAGGCCTTTAGGATATACAGAAGACAAGCTTCTCAGAAAAGGGAGGGATCCTCAGAGCTCCTGCTGCACCTCCAAATCCTTCAGTACCACCACAGCTTGGAGGCTTTTGCAGATTAAGAAGCAGAAGCACCACTCCTAAGGAAACACACACCCACGTGCACACATGCTGGGCTGGGGGAAGGGACAGAGGCGGCTGCAGCCACCGGGAGGAGAAGGAGGAAGAGGAGGAGAGAGGACACATTCTAATGCCTCCTGTGCCACACAGCCCCCTGCCACCTGCCTGGCAAAGGTAAAAGGGACCAAGCCCAGCTTTTGGTGGGATTTCCCCCTCTTACCTTCATGCAAAGCCTGTGCTATGAGAGCAGATGAACACAGGCTGCGAGTGCCTCACTCCTCTCCTCTCCTCTTCCCATCAATCATTAATGCTGCCCTAGGATCTCTCTGCTGGCTGGAGAGCCAGGGAGCTTCCTGGGGAAGCTGGCAGCTGTCCCTCTCTGGATGGAACCCTGCCCTGGGACCGGCACAAGACACCCCAAAGGCTGTTTTGGGATCTCCAGCTCCTAACGCTGCCTCTGTGCTGGAAGGAGGGGAGCTCTGTGCTTAGCTGGGGAGCTCTGATGCTGGGAACATGGGAACATTCCCCTGCTGACCAGTGGTGAATGGATGGGAGTGCTCCTGCCCTGCTGTAGCCAAGAAGGGCAGAGAAATAAAAATAAGAAAAATAGGGGAAGTCTCCACTGAGCTCCACCATCTGTGGCTGGGAGCTGTGGCAGAGATGGGATAAAAGGGAACGTGGCACGAGGGCAGAGCCTTCCCCTTGCCACGTACAAAAATAACTAACCCCCGTGAAACAGCCCTGAGGACACCACCTTAATCTCCTGTGCCATAATCCCAGGAGCATGGAAAGGTGTGGGAGTGCATGGACAGGAAAACACCTTTGTTTTTCTCCTCGTGTCCGTGATTTCCCATGGGAAAACACACACTGCAAGAATCCTTCCTTCCCATGCACATCAGCTTTCCCAAGCATAGAGAAAAGCCAAGGGATTAGAAAAACCCTCCGCTGAGCTTTTTTTTCTTCCCCACTACCACATACTGGAATTTTCTATAGGCATTGCAGAATTATTTGGGGGTTTCTGCAGTCATGAAGGAAGACACCGAGTACAGAGCAGGGACAGCAGCATCCCTGAGATTGCCACACTGAGTAGGTTATATATATTCCATAGCTACTTGTGTCCTTTATTTGTGGGAGAACATTTCAAGCAGTTGGAAACAGAAAGAAAAAAAAAATGCCTCACTCCCCTTCACCCCACACAAATACAGAGACATATTTCTGTATCCCAAAAGGAAACACTCAGTGATGTCAACATTTCAATGCCAGACAGGCAGAAGCTCCTCCTGCTGGAAACCAGGGCTCCTTGGAGTTGGGAGTTACTCCCCCAGGATGGAATATTAAGCATTAAAGCTGCTAACACCCATTTCTCAGTTTGACTAAATCTGCTGAGCTGCAGAGCTAATCGGGTAATCCTTACGCCTTGTGCAGGCAATTACAGCTCTGAGCATCCAGGAGACAAGGGGCAAAACACCCCAGCCTGTGGCACAGCAAAGGGACAGAAAGCCCTGGAAAACCCATGGAGAGCATTGATTCCCCAGCAGCCACGTGCTGAGCTCACTGCTCTGCCACAGCTTCCTTTGACAGAACAGACTCTGCTCAGAGCATATGAAAATCCCACATATTTACAGTTAGAAACCCCAAAATATCAACAAACACCTCCACTTGCAGAAGAAGAAATTTACAGTTAAAAATCCCAAAGTATCAACAAACATTTCCACTTAACAAAGAAATCGACAGTTAAAAATCCCAAACTATCTAAACAAACATCTCCATTTACTGGAGAAGAAATTTACAGTTAAAAATCCCAAAGTACCAACAAACACATCCACTGACCGAAGAAGAAATTATTTCTACTTACAAGAAAAGGTTCCTCAATAAAACCTGGAAACAAACTGTATGAGTAACCACCTTCTCTGCAAGCATTTAGTGTTTTCCTGTATCTGACTTCCACTGCCTGGTTATCAAGGACAAAACTCCAGGCTAGAGTGACACAAGGGATCAGGAAACAAGAGGCCAAGGTCTTTTCCTTCCTTTCTCTGCAGCAGAGCAGCAAGGGACCAGCCCAGAGCTTGCTACAACACAGCTTGGTTACAACAGGAGAGAAAACATGCACAGAGCAGAAACACCAGCAGACTGAGATCTAACTCTCCTTAGATCATTGATTGTGAAGAAAAATTGCTGTGAGCTCTCAGCATCACCTGTATCACAAACACCCAAAAGCAATCAAGGTAATATTGCAGGATTGTGCCTCAGAAGCCACCATCATCACTTCTGTCACCACCAAGCTGTGTCCCTGAATCGATGGCAATTAGCAACCCATTTGCACGAGCTCCTAGCTATAACTGGACAGTTTTGCTTTGAGGTAGATTGGTTAAGATTAGTTTGCAGTTAGAAACCTGCACTTGAGCGATGCCACTGCTTTAAGAAAATACAGTTTAGCTTATGTTTGTCCTAAGCCTAGCAATCCAGAAAGAGTAAGAAATCCTAATAATCCACACGGTTTAGTGAAGCTGCTCTGGGGATGGAGGTGATAAACCAGCCCATTCACAAACTGTATGGGGAGCATTTTCACAGGGTACTGAAGGGATGAACCCAGCCTGGAGAAAGAGCACAAATCTTGCTGAAGAGGCAGCGGGTGACATGCCACGAGGCCTGTTCCATTCAGAATCATCCATAAACACCTTCAAACCCAACCCAGCGTTTTCCCAGGAAGGGTGCTCTAGTCTGGCTGCTCTCCCTGCCAGGTGAAAATGGAACCTCCTCACCTTGCTCATCTTCTCGGCCTCATCCAACGACTCCAGGTCCTGCGCTTCCGCCTCCTCCGGGGCCGCCTCGGCCGAGCTGTCGGGGTCACTGCAGAGGGAGTGCCCTGCCGAGAGCGACACGGGTGTGAAACACGGCCACAACGCCCCAAAATCCCCAAGAAAAGCTGGCTGCAACCATGGAGCTCCCAGGGAACACAAACACCTTCCAACAAGAGGCTGTGCCGGAGGCACCCGACGACCTCTGGTTTAAGGACGGCTGTAAAAACCAAACAGGTTACGACCAGACATCATTTCACTGGCCACTACAGATTCAGAGATAAGGCTAAAATGTCATTTAGCACATTGAAATTCTGACAATCCAGCATTCATTGCTTGGCTGGTGAGCAGTGCCAAGGACCTTTCTACCCCAGTGGTTTCACGTGCAAAATGTGGTATGCAGCTCCTGGTGCATGGTGATTCCACTGCCTGCATTTCTGGCCTGACACACTCACTTGCTGAGGAAATAAACCCAGTTTTAGATGTTTTTAGGAGGTGGGACCCAGCATTCAGCTGCTGTTCCTGAAAGCTTTTGGGCCCCATTATTAAAAATAATTTGCATGACTGTGCAAGATTTGCCACTTTGTTATGTCCAGAGATCATCTGGAAAAGCCAGAATTCAGAAATCTGGAAATAACTTCAAAACATATTTTGCACACTGGGATGGAGCCAAGGTGGGCATTGATGAAATGGAAAGGACATAAAAGGCCTCTCTCCTGAAAAGGGAGGGTTTACCTTGGAAAAGGATGTGCCTGGAGGGATTGTTTGACAACACAGAGTCTATTTGAAGTGTTTTCCCTGTAAGAAGTTCGGTTTTCAGAGCCTTGCCCAGATTTTATCAAATCTCACTATCAGCTTTCTGCTCTCCCTGTTAACATGTGAGAAAGAATTTTCAAGGTGTCCATTTAAAAAAAACAGGAAAAATACGTGCTATGTGCCTTAATTTGTGTGGAGCAGTCTGTTTTTCCACTGCAATTAATTTCCCTTCTCAAGCACAATGCACCTTGCAGCTGTTTCTCACCCCAAACCAAGGCAATAATATTTGTTCATATTACTTTTAAACCACCCCTTTTTCTTTTCCTGTATGTCAAAGCCCCATTTAACCTGTTTCCTGCGCTTCTTTCAGCCAGCAGCCAGGGATCTTTCACTGGAGCAGACACCCAGCACGTGTGCTCGGGCTTTTCCTGATGTCTTTGGCCAGCAGGGACCTGAGCAGGTTTATCTGCTGCTTGTTAAATGCAATCAGAGCAATAAAGCTGCACGTTCCTGCCCGTTAATACCGCCCGGTTACCGTCCCACTTCTGTCAGGATCGTTCCATCACCTGCCTTTTGCCCTGTGAATCCTTATTTAGCTCTGCCAGGAGAATGTGCTGCTTTCCTTCCTCCTGACCACTGCCATTTGCTGCCCTCACGGGGCATTAAGGAATGAGAAGGGGAAATCCAAAAAAGCGGCAGGAAAAGGGGGTGAAAGCCCTGTGGCCCCAGCACAGAGGGAGCTCACAGGGGCTGCCCCAGCAGTGTCATCCTGGGACAGTGTGACCAATGCCCGCTAAATAACTCCCATCTGTGGCCACAAGCAGCACGACAGAAGGAAGTCTATCACTGGAGCAAAGGTGCTGGGCCTTAAAGGCCTGGAGAATCACAAAAAGCTTCAGCACCACCCAGCACTTGGCTAGAATTTTCCATGACTGCTGCTTCCAGCTTGCAGGGCTGGTGTAACTCAAGGTTTTAATGAGACTTCCACAATATGTGGTACCTCTCCTAAAGCCTCCATCTTGCTGCCAGGCTATACATTTATTTATTGCTATTTATATATTTATTACAGTGCAGTGGGAATAAATATCCCAAGCCAAGCTCTGCCAGCTGCAGCACAAAGCTCCAAGTGTGCATCCCGCTAACACAAAATACGAACCAGGAATCCTGCAATCCTTCAAAAACTTCCCAATATCATCTTTTTGGGCAGTTTAACAGCAGCTTCCTTAATCCACATGCTGCCAGGGAATGGCCCCGTTATGACAGCAGAACGCCTGGCTGGAAAGGCTCTGTCATTAAATGCAAAAATATCATTTTTGACAGGAGTTGTTAGGGAATGGTGTCTCGGATGAAATTTTTATTTCAGGTGACATTTCACCTATAAATCCGCAGTAAAACGGGTGAGTATGTATTTTTTTTCTTCCTTGCAGAAGAACTCTGGTTAGCTGTGAAAGCCCCGGGAGCGAGGGGTTCATTTCCATGGGGAAATCGGGAACCCCAGCCTGGCCTCCTGCGCGGCCGCCAGAGGGCGAGGCAGCACCGCAGCAATTCGGGGAACTGAAAAATGCAATCCGATCCCAAACCCCTCCGGTGGCTGCTGCAGGAAGCGCCCCGGAATTGTTACATCAATGAATGAAATCTGCAATCAGCCTCGTGAAAATAACCCTGAAGAGATTAGGGTCACTGCTGGCCTCAGCTGGTTCTGAAATCCAAATTACTCAGCCCGAGGGGGCCTGTGACAGATGAGGTTGGAATAAAAACCAGTGGCTGTTCTTACAGTGCAGTAGAAGTTTGTTTCAGTTTTATAGCACACATTTAGCCTGTGTGTTAATAACTCCAAATTACAAACTCCCTAAAACACCCATGTGTTTCCTATCTAGGAGACTGGTACACCTGTTCCAAGCAGGGGGGCATTTTCTTTTTCAGTCTTTATCCATTCTGCACGGTGATTTATGTGCTTCACTTCATTCCCCATGCTAAAGGTCTCCAAAATACAGGGGCAGGCAAAGCCCAAACCTCAGAGACTCTGCCTCACACTGAAAGAAGGGAGTGAATTGTGGGGAAGACCACAAACGAATCTGGGTATGGAGGTGATAAACCCCCATTCCCAAATTTCCTACTAACAGCAGAATGCCTTGCTGGCGATCTGGGAGAGATCCAAGGCTGTGTCCCCAGCTCTCATTCCCTGCACTGAGGGGAGCAGAGTGGGCAGGCAGAACACTCCTCGTGGGGAGGGGAGACAGACCCCACTGATCCTTTTAGGCAATAAGGAAAACCTGCTGTGGGGCTCCAGACAGAACCAGAGCTAATCCTCCTCAGCCAAATTCATGCAGGCTGTGTTAGCAGGAGAGAACCCAGAGCCAGGAAAAGCAATAATAGATGAGAGGAAGAAAACTCGTGGCTCTGCAAAGGCAGCGCAGTTCCACGGGGAAAGCATCCATCGTGCCCAGGATGGCAGTTCTCACATCAATCAGAGATACAAAACACAAGGTCACTTCCAGAATAACCTGCTAAGCGAACACCCTGAAGTAACCACGGCCACAGAGCTGATTTGCAGCTCCAGCCCCAAGCTCAGCATGTGCAAGGGAGTTCCAGATGATGAAAGGGCTGTGAGATGTTGGATTTAACAGGAGCTCCGGCAGATGGCTCTCCAGGGAGGTCAACTCCCAGAAACACCACCCTGCTTTGCTCCTCTAGACCTCCCAATGAGCAGCAAGGCACCAGGAAAGCTTCATTAAGAAATACATCTTTCCTATTTTGAAAATACAATGTATCATTTGCCTCATACAAAAAAATGAAGTCGACCCTTTGCAGCTTTCACATGTGATGAAGAATTGCTAGGGAAGAAGATAATGCTAAGACACCAGCATGATCCTGGATTCCTGGAGAAGGGATGTACCCACAGGTGCTGCATGCCCACTGGCACTGTGACCCTGCTGAGAGAGGCCTGCAGCACCTCAGGGCCAGCCACAGAATCTGTGTCCTAGAAATAAAGCATTCAGCAGAAATCATGGAGCTCATCTGGCCAGCCAAACTGCCTGGAATCAACAAGGACACAAATAAATAGGTCAGTGGGTATTTCATACTTGACTGCTCTTGCAAGAAGCTGCAGAGCCAAGAACAAAAATCTAAGATAACACCACAATGTCCCAAATACGAGCACAGACCACTTTTTAAAATGTCAGGTACCTGTCAAGGTAACGGATCCCTGACAAAGCACAGGAGCAGAAGAAGAAAGGCTTCAATAAAACAGGATGTTCTACAAACACCTAACTAGAGGGAAAGGTGGGGAAGATCACCTGCCTCCCAGTCACACACATGGGTGCAGAACCTTGATTTCACTCCCACCTTGGGCTAAGCCAGCCCAAATTATTTCATGCGGCAACTGCAGGCGCTTCCAGAAGCAGCCAGGGACAGCTGCACTCCTCCTGCAGAAATATTCCCCTCCTTTTGGGGGGAACAGAGGCAGATCCCAGCCCAGCATTCCCTGTGCCTAGAAGGAATGGGAATGTTGGGAGAGCTCCAGGTTCTGTGTGAACACAGAAATCCCAGCTCCCAACCCTCTGCTCCCAGGGCAGACGCTCACCTCGGGGAAAAGCTGAGCTACGAGGAGCCAGCACTCAGGGTTCCAGTGACAAATCACAGGCAAAGACAAGAGGCTTGTGAAAAGCTGTGTTGAGCAGCAAATGGGGGCATCTTGTGGCCAGCTATGAAAATGTACAGGACTACTTCGGTTTTCCAGCACAAAAGCCTAACTCGGTAAACTGCCATGGAAATTAAAAAGGGAAAATTTCCTGAAAATGTTGAATTTTAACTGCCTGTGTAGTTTTAGTCCACATTTTACACAAGGTTGCTTTTAGCAGTCCCCCTAAGAGAGATTTATAATAAGCTGTGTGGAAGTTTTCTTGCTCCCTCTTTTCCACTTGCTATGAATATTACACTCCCCAAAGCCAGTCTCAGCTCAGAACAGTTTCGACTACCTAGAAACTACTTCACTCCAGCAATTCCACTGATTTCTCCTGTATTCTAAATTCAAAAAAATGAGGCAAGAGGTCATCTTCTGCTGTCAAATCTAGAAGGAGCACTGAGTAGAAATTCAGGAAGCCAAACTCGTGGCAAACAATTCCCAGTTGCTATAGATTAATCTTCTGCTGGTTGGGTTCTCTGAGCAGGGCAGTGTCATTCATTCCAGGCTGGGCAGGAATGTCCCTTCCCACAGCAGTGTGCTCTGGGATCACCTGGCTGTGTCACACTGTAATGGCAATCCTCATCTTCAGGTGGTTTAAAAAATCCCTGTGAGTTATTCGTGCATCTCATCCAACACACACAGGGCTCTGTGCTGCTGGCTGACCCCACAGAGGGTGAATCACAGAGCCACAGAATATCCCAAGTTGGAAGGGCCCCACCAGAATCATCCAGTGCAGCCCCTGGCCCTGCACAGACCCCCAACAATCCCACCCTGGGCATCCCTGGAGTGGTGTCCAAACACTCCCGGAGCTCTGGCAGCCTCGGGGCTGTGCCCATTCCCTGGGGAGCCTGGGCAGTGCCAGCACCCTCTAATATCCAACATAAACCTCCCTGGCACAGCTCCAGCCCTTCCCTCTCCCAGGGAGCTGAGATCAGAGCTGCCCTTCTGGAGGAAGCTGCAGACCCCAGTGAGACTCCCCTCAGTCTCCTCTCCTCCAGCTGAACATTCCAAGTGCCCTCAGCTGCTCCTTGGAGGACTCCTCCAGACCCTTCACCATCTTCCTGTGTCTCCTTTGGACACTCTCCAGCAGCTGGAGACCTGTCTGACGTGGTGGTGCCCCAAAGTGCACACAGAACGCTTTAACCCTCACTCCCCTTGCCACGTGTAGATCCTGTGGGCAAATCCAGATGACAAAGCATCTCCTGAGCTGCCCAGAAGGGAGCAGCTGGTTCTGTGAGTGTCTGTGGGCACATCCCGAGGACGTGAGGTGCCTTTGGTGCTGACAGGGTCCCAGGCTGTCGGCAGCCCTGTGACACCTCACAGCTTCCCCAGCCCCACTCAGGCTGCAATTCCCATCCATCCCACCACGGAACCTGCAGGCAGGAGCCATTTCTGTCCCGACCCCAGTACCTTGGCTGCCCCCAGAGAAGGCCAGGGCACCGTCCCCGGGCTCTGAGGGGTTCTCTGGGCGCCGTGGGGGCGGCTGGCTCAGCCTCTGTTCCTCCTCTGGCTCGGGGTGGGTGCGCACGGTGAGGCACAGCGCGGGCTGCAGCAGGGCGTCCTTCAGCAGCGCCGAGTCCAGCTCCTCTGCGGCTCTCTGGTTGATCTCCACCACCTCATCCCCGGCTTTCAGGCCTGTGACACGGAGGAACGGGTCAGACTTGCGCCGCCGTGTTCCCCACAGATGTGGAGGAGCTCTGACGGTGTTTACGTCTAGACATAATCATTAATGACTGCAAACGACACTGAGAATTGATGGCCTTTGTGAGGCCTGCTGTCTGGCTGCTCCTACAGTGCCACCCCAAGAGCAGAGCGCCCAGCAAGTCCCTCAGCAACAATTTATCCCCTTTTTCCTGCACCCTACAGAGCCCAGCCCCGCCACGACCCTTCCCGAACCCCATGGCAGCACAGGGATCTTCAGAAGGCAGAGCTGAGCCCTTGCTAAGTTAGTCATGGCTTTTTTCCCAGCCTCATTCAGGAGTTATTTATAGCAGCAGCGCCCCAGGGAGAAGGGGATGTGCAGGGAAGCAGCTGCCTCCCGCTCCCCGGGATGCTGAGGGACAGGTGACACGGGAATCCTGACCTTCCCCACGGCCAGCCCGGCCCTCCCTGACCAGCCACAGCCAGCTGGAGTGGGCTTTGATCCCAAACCATCCCTGGGGCCTGGCAGGCAGCAGCACACCGGGAACAGCAGTGCCCAGAGCCCCCCCGCTGCTGCACCCTCCCCATCTCCATCCTTGCATTTACAGGGATGAGAGCTGGAACCGACAGCAGCCAAAGAACCGGGGTGACCATCCCTGCCATGCCAAGGAGGAGCCCTGGCACCCTGAAAGCCTGGATGAATCCTCCAGAGTACTGACCCACATTCCAGGAAGAAAGGTGGAAGGAAGGAGGCTAAAGAGCTTCCTTAGGAAAATGGAGATCTCCCTAAATGCACGTAATTGTGCCCAGAAACTAGTGTGGTGTGCAGTTTCAGGGAGAATAAAATGAACTAGAGAGAGTAGCTACGAAGTAAATGGACTGTAAAATCATATCTGAAAGAAGGACAAAAGAAGGCAAGTCAAGCATTTCGCATTATTTAATTTATTCTACTTAGTGATTCTGTGGCATAATAGTAGCACACTAATAGGCCTGCAACCATAACCATTGGATCTGGGGCTTCATTTACTCTTTGTAGTCTTTGTTTTGGATCATTTGGGATAAAGCATCACATCTATCTCAGTGCATTCAAGGAGCTCCCGTTCCAATAAGGAATGCCTGCCTTGCTAAGGCAGGCCAACAGAAGAAACAAAAGGATAAATTATAAAAATTACCAGGAGAAAATAAAAGTCTTCTAATTGGAGGAAAGATTGAAAATGAAATGCAGTATCTCATATCTGAGGGAGTGCAGTCAAAAGCAGACACTGCACGTAAATAATGGGAGGCACAGAGAGTTTTCCTCCCTTCCTGCTGCCACCTCAGGGAATCTTGTCCCGGTATCCTGCTGCTCATTCAGCAGTGCTGTTTCAGGTCTCTTCTGAGCAGTGTGAGTTCTCATTGCCTGTCCTTGCACTGCAGCCCCACAGGAGGCACTCTGTGCTCACATATCCACCCCGACTGCTCTTCCAGCAGCACCTAAAATCAGACCCTGATGAAACCCCCATCCAGCCCACAGGAACCCGCAGGGTTTCATTTCCCTGTGTCAGCCTGGCAGGGAGCCCCCCACGGCTCTGCTCAGGGCTTTTTGGCAGGATATCTATCCTGTTGAGCAGGGCATGCTGTGGGGCTGAGGGACAGCAAAGAGCAAGATGTTTTCATGTTTAACACACACCAGCGTGGGTTTCTGAAGCTGGGGTGCAACTCCAGGCGTTCTCCCATTCCCTGTTCCCCCATTCCACTGTTCCTTCCTCCCTGTTTCTGCCCCCACTGCCCCTTTGGCCACTCATTCCCAAGCACACTAGCCAGCTGCACCAGCCAGGGCACTTTCCCATGGCTCTGGCTCAGTGGAGTGCCAGAGTTAGCACCAGGCCAAGTGGGGGCAGCAGCCTTGGAACAGCTTTTGGCAAGGGCCAGCTGATGAATAAGCTCTGCAAGGCCATATAAGCCCTCAGCAGGAGAACTCTGAAGGTGTTTCTGAGGACTCTGCATGCACCACTGGGTTATGAAGAGATGAGAATCTTCTCACCCCTCATGGGTCCCCGTGCTCTAGTTCAAAGTGTGGTTTGGCTTCAGCTGCCTGGCCCCCTGTCTGTGCAGCAGGGGAGGCAGTGACTGGCACACGAGTGGCATGGTTGGCCTCAGCTTGGATAAGCTGCACTAAACCAGACCCTGCTCTGCCTTGGGACGAGCTGGGGATCCCTGCTGGCTCATGCTGCAAGTGTGTGCTTCCTGCTAAGGGTAGAAGCAGAAGCAGAGGCAGTAATGCTAGCCACAGCAATGCTCCTGCTGTATTTGTGTGGCAGTGACTGACTTGGGAGGGCTTTGGCAAGTGTTTTACCTTTCTTGAAAGCCAGGCCCGTCTCCTTGACGCCGTTCACGTAGAGCCGGCGAATCCCCTCCTCTTCCACGGAGGACAGAGAGAAACCTGGGGAGAGAGCCAGTGAGATGGTCAGAGGAAGCCAGCCCCTTCCAGAGTGTCCCAGCCACCAAGGCTGTGCTGTCCCTGCCATGAGCAGGTGGGAATTCCTCCCCTCTCCCTTCCCTCAAACCTTTACAAACACAACGGGGAAGTTCAGCAATGAAAGTGGCTCTAACAAAAACCCAAACTGAATTTCTGAGTGCATATACCAATTACATGTTTGAAGATACCACAGCTGCAAAGCCTTGGAACAGACTCCCAATTCTCTTGCCATCAAAGGTCACTCCAGGAGGTTTTGCTGTTTGCAGACCAAAGCTGCACAGAGCCGTGGTTCGGGACAAAAGCTGCGAATCTGGGAGCCACGGCTGATGTGCTGCCCCAAACACAGGCAAAGCACAACACCTCCTGCTAGAACAGAGAGCTGACCTCTGCTTTTTGAGATTCCTGGGCTGGGCACTTTTGTAAAAATGCCCCTTCCCCTTTGCCCCTTCCCCTTTTCAGCTGCTTCTGGCACAACCTGTCATTTGCCAGGTCTCAGCTCAGCATTTCACTACAGAACAGTCTTGGAGTGGAAGTGCTGACACAGCCTCATTTTAAACAGAGCAAATGGGACTGGGAGCTTTGGGCTGGGGGATTCTCCTGCCATTTGTGGGTGACACAGTAAGATAACGACGTGCCAAGTTAAATGCAGGTTGTTTATTTACTGTGGAGAGTTATCTAAAGCAGAACATTTGCCTTTCTGAAACTTCATTAAGCCCTAAATGAGTGCAGGCAGCCATTTGCTCTCTCTTTTTCTAGAGACTAGAAAAACATTTACAAACCTCTGGGGGGAGTCATTTGTTTTGACATGCAATCAGCCACCAACCAAGCGGTGCAGATGTGCTGGGAGCCTATCCTGACTTTAGGACTCCCTTCAAGCTGATCCTTATGGCTGAGAGTTATTTTTTATTCCATGATTTAAAAATAAAAAACAAAAAAAAAAAGAAGAAGAAAAGAGGGGGAAGAACATGGCAGCTCGGAAGTGAGAAGCATATGGCCTTTCATGACTTACTGAGCTACTTGGAACCTGCATGCGAGCTACTTGGGCTGAATCAAATGAAATTTGTGAAGCTCACTCAACACACCCGTTTTGGCAGAGGGAAGAGCCCTAGACTAAAAGAGCAGCTGTAAAATATAGTAGTTATTGGTTGTCATCACCACGAAGCCTACCTGGAAAACTCTCATCCAGAGAAACAGCAGAGTGTGCCCAAGGCTGCAGTTTGAGTCAGCACAAAGCATCAGTTGCTAAGAGCGTCGCCCTTTCAGCTGAAATGCTGTTTGGGCCAACCACCACACACTAAAACCAGGCTGAGGGACAGCTCAGGCTCTCACTGGGACGAGATCAGCACATCCAAGCAGCCCCAAGCTCCATCTCTCCTACAAGGAAAGGCTGAGAGAACTAAGATTGCTCAGCCTGAGGAAGAGAAGCTATGGGGTGACCTAATTGCAGCTTTCCTGAAGGGAGCCCACAGGAAGGATGGAGAAAGACTCATTACAAGGGCCTGGAGTGACAGGACTAGGGGGAATGGCTTCAAACTGAGAGTAGGTTTAGATGGGATATTGGGAAGGAATTGTTCCCTGGGAGGGTGGGCAGGCCCTGGCACAGGGTGCCCAGAGCAGCTGTGGCTGCCCCTGGATCCCTGGGAGTGTCCAAGGCCAGGCTGGACACTGGGGCTTGGAGCAACCTGGGAATAGTAGAAGGTGTCCCTGCCCATGGCAGGGGGTGGAATGGGAGCTTTAAGGTCCCTTCCAACCCAAACCATAGAATTCTGGGATTCTGTGATTCCTCCATGAGAAGACATCTGCCTCCTTCAATCCATCAGACCTAAATGCACACGTAGTTGCTTCTTAATTCATCTTTCAGCCATACCCATAAATCCTGCAGTTATTCCTGGCAGAAAGGGCGCAAGGAGCAATTACACAGGTTGTCACCAGCTTTAAGAGATGAGAGATGGGCAGCTGGCAGCAACCTGGAAATGGTCATCTCACACCCCCAGTTAACCCCTCCACAGACAGACAGTGCGCCCCTGCCCTGTTTTACCTCCACAGCTGGGACAGAGGCTGGATCTCACACCAGCTGCAGCAGTGCCTTCAGTGCCCTGCACTCGGGACAGAAACACCTCGTCCCAGTGCGTGTGCAGGCTGCACACACACGTGGACAGCAGGAATGAACAGCTCCCATCTGCCTGGCTTCCACGGGGCTCCACACAAACACCGCGGGAGAGGAAGGGCAGGAGTGGGTGGAAAGGAAGGGCAGGAGTGGGTGGAAGCCACAGTGATTGCATAAGCTGGCATTCCTGCCAAAAACATTATCATCAAACTGTGCACGGACTCTGAAACACAGGTGGGAAGAGATGGGTGGTGACCCAGGCAGAGCCTTCTCCTCACTGCAAAGTTCTGATGACAGGAGAACAAAAATCTGCATCTCTGAGTGCACGTGGCCAAAGCAGCTCAACAGCTGAACAAATCCACCTCGGGTAATCCCCACAGCCCCTGGCACACCAGCTGCTGGTGAACCTGATACATCCAGAAACTGGAATCCGAGGATTCTTACCGATTTCTGCCCTCACAGCCCTGGCAAAGAGGGAAAGTACCAGCCAAAGAGGTGAGAACATCTGTGCTCAGGCATCAGCACAGCATCCCACTGAGAGATTCACCACTCTGCTCCAGGAGTGCCTCTTCCTACCACAGACACACCGGTGGGAGCAGAAACACCACAGAATGTTCCCAGTGAGCTCTCCCCCAGATGAGGTGTTGGAATGAGGTGATCTTTAAGGCCCTGTGCAGCCCAAACTACTCCAGAACTGTGTGATTTCAGTACACACTTGTCACTGGACAAACACACAAGGAGACACATACAGACCACAGAAATCCTTCTGCCAATTGGAGGCAAACCACACTTGGCTATTTTCCCCTCAAATGAGAGAAAAGTCAGCTTATTTGGGGGGCTTTTAGCATTCCCTCCCTGCAGGGTCAGAGCACTGCACACCTACATCCCACACCTCACACAGCTGATCTCATCTCACAGGACACCACAGTGCATTTCACATTTTTTTCCCATTTATCACTTAGTAAAAAAGAAGAAAAAGAAATAAACAGGAAATGCTATGACAGCCCCAACTCCTGCAGTGCTTTCAGGCACTGCATAAATATGAACCCTGAACCATCACTGGGATGGTGAATATTTCTTTCTTAGGCCTACAATATTCTGTACCACTGCTTTGTGGCAAAGCTCAGTATTCCAATGGCCTGCAGCTGTATAATAAGGAGTTTGGGGATTCAGAATTATTCCACTCATTAAAACAGAATATTTAGATAAACAGCAAAAGGATGCAGATTGGCTTCCTGTGGGGGAGGTTACACTGAAAACTCTAAAATACACCCCAGAACTGTAATTGCCAGGCCAAAGGGCAAACTCACCAGGCAGGAGGGCTATAACCTGAAATACCTGAAAGCTGAGAAGTATGAACTACACAGAGATGAGAGATTCTGCTAAAATTACACAGGGAAGCCTTCCCCTGCTTTATGTTTCACACAGATCTGCCACGTGCCAGATCCTGGCTCTGTGGGACATCCTCGAGGGCTGGAGCATCCCTGGGACACCCTGGAGCCGGGCATCCCCAGCCTCAGGAATGGCAGGCAGGCCAGGAACCCACCTTGGTAGCATCTGGCAGGTGAGAAGCAGCCAAAGAGCCTCTGTGGAGCTGCCTGGCCACAGAACTTGAGATGCCTCGTACCCACAGCGATGCGCCAAGGAGAGAGGAGGGGAGCAAGGAGGAAGGAGTGAGGAAGGGGACAAGGAGGAAGCAGTGGAGCTGCAGAGCCCTGCAGGCTGTGGGCAGTGTGGCAGCCCCAGCAGAGCCCCCAGCAGAGCCTGTGTGAGATGTGACAGCTGGCAAAGGATGCTGCTCCCACCCACACCCTCCGTGGGTGGCACTGGGAGGAACTACAGCAACAAGCAAACTCCCTGTGCATCCTCCAGCTCCAGGAAAGCCACGTTCAAAGCACTCCAAACAAAGCTGTCCTCCTCCAGGGCAGGTGAATGTTCCTGTGGGTGGCTCAGGAATCAGAAGTACTTTTCTCACTGTGCTCAAGAGACCTTTCAGGTGCATCAGTAAACAGCACTCAAGAACCTGCTAGCGCTGGAACTGACTGGGGAGAAACAGCAAAACAAGTCGGGGACTAACTCACCATAAATATCAGAGGATGCATCAGACTTCTCCATCTGAATGTGCTGGGTAATTTTCTGACAGATTTCAATTTCCTTGTATAGCTGAATAGAGTGGGAAAAAAAACAAACACGAAAGTATATTACTGTGGGAGGACACATCAATTGTAACCGTTTGGAACAGATTTTTGGTTTTTAATTACAGGCAGAAGAAAGGGACTGTGGTCATTATTTATCAAACAGTTTCTCTCCACCTGTGTGAGAGGCATTAGCAGTGTCACTCAGCTCTGCTGTCAGAACACAGAGAGGAGGAAGCAGTGTTTTCCCACCCCCATCACAAAACAGAGCGTGCATCTATTTCACTCAGTCAGTACCATCTTGAGTCAGTTTCTGCCCCTGTTTTCCTCATTTACAGGTAGTAATAGCTGAATGGTTTTCTATTATTTTAATGAAGACATTGCAGGAATTCAATTATCCGACAGCACTAAAATCACAAGGAGTGATTTTGTTTCTTAAATACATTTCTTCATTATCAGACTATCAGATTTGCTATACCTCAGCATGACGTTTCACCTTTAACACCTGGATGTTTATTTGTACCAAGGAAAACCCCCAAGTCTTTGAAATGGTCATTAACATCCTTCCTGGGAGAGCAGCACAAATTCACACCTAGGCAATAGTCCCTCCATCCAGCTGTAAATCCCTCTGCCTTTCAGCACCGAAGTAACAAACCAGCCCTTTGTCTTCGGAAAAAAACCATAGCCCCAGGTGAACGAGAGCCCACGGGTGAATATTAATTCTGTTTACATGCTGCTGTGAGCGTGTAAAAATGCAATTCACAACAATTAACATTCTGAAACTCAGTGTTTGGACTGCAGAATGTCAGCTATTCCTTTAGAAAAGAAGAGGAACTCGTTTGCAAAAGGTTTCCCTAATAAAAATATAATTTTATCTCCTGACAGAATATAGAATAGAATTCTATCAGCACTGCAAAACTCAGTATTACAAAATAGCTACAGCCCCATGGAAGTAACTCCAGTGCTCTCCCCAAACAAGCCCACACAGACAAGGAAACATACAAAGTGTGTTGGTTTAATACCCACACATTAGACATCATCCTGCATCCTGCCATTCCCTTCCAGCATCTGCACAGTCCCAGGGACAGAGTTTTGGGTTAATTACAGCTTTTCAGAATAAACAGTAAGTGATGACTCTGTCAATCCTACGCCCTCTCAACACAAGGCCCCCAAGTCCTTCCAGACAACGCAGCTAAAAGCTGTCTCCTCTGAGTTTTAATTTTCCCCAGCTATATCACACTTCCCAGTCCTAGCACTCCTCTAGCACTTTCTCACTATTTTTTGTTGTTGTTGACAGCATTAATGGAAAATCCCAGAAGTTCTTTGCTAAATGAGCAAAAGCCTCCATAACTAACAAAGTTTTATTTTTATAAGTAAGCTAACCACCAATGAGAAGGACTTTAAAAAGGTTTACAGCGTGCCTGTGTAAAATCACAGAGTGAAAGCATGACACTAATCCTGTTTGGTCTTTTTTTTTTAATCTCTCATGGCAAAATTCCTTTGAAGTCTGCTTTTGAGATGAACGAGATGAAAACAGCCAGCTGAGGCAATTAAGGAAGTATATTCTCACACAGAACTCCAGACCTTCTTGACCTCAATCTTTACCTCATCATTAGGAAAAAAATGCAAAAAACACCAAACAACTTGTGTGTTTCTCCCCTCTTTGAAGCTCAGACAGGGACTGTAACATGAAGTGCTCAGGCCTCCACACCATGTCTTTAAAACCTCCATGGACAACATGAACAACAGGAAAAGACAACTTGGAGGGAAGTTAAGCTTAAATGGACCTTAGAGTGACTTTCACACATTGCCTGTGGCTGTCCCTCCTCTCTCCCCAGACACATCCACACACAAATACCAGCTAAACACCAACACAGGATGAAACCTTTGGAGAGATCCCTTTGCTGAAGGCCAATTTGCTATGGTCTGCAAAGCACCATAATTGCAAAGCAAAAAGCATAACTCTGCCTGCTCCAGAATGTCAGATAAACACTAATTAACAGCGTCCTTCCCAGTGTCATGTCATTTGCCCAGTGGGCAGCATTACCAGCTCATAGATCTCCTCCTCTGGCTTTGGTACATACAACTGGATCTGGTTCTCAATGAGGAACTTCAGGCGCAGGTAGTGAGCGGAGTAGTCCAGCTGGTGTGTCTGCAAGAGACAGAGATCCTTTAGACAGAAGAGCAGTCTTCCCCTCATCTCTGAGCCTCACAGGAACAAAAACGACCCAGCACCACCTTCCACCACGGCCTCCTGCCCTGAAACCTGAGCAAAACCTGGCCTTCCTGCTCTCCCCCAGGAATAAAGTCTGTGTACCCACGGAGGGCACTTGGGAGCAGCCTCCTTTGGCTCTGCTGACCTGGCACCCTGCTCCCTCCCAAGCCATTCCAGAAATAAGCCCATGCTGGAACAGAAATCTCAGAGTATGCCTTTGGATAAAACGATATTTAACTGAATGTTCTGCTAACAGAGCAAAATATAGCAGGAAAGGTGTTTTCAGTTTGGTTTGGGTTTTTTTAGCATCTTCATAATTTAGCACGTAAATATGATATGGCAGATTTCAAGCAAGGTTAATAAACACCAAAAATCTGTCTGTCCTCTAAATTCAAAGCAGCTCAGGATACACTGGCTTTATGAGGCTAGAAGAAGCCAAGAGTTGCATCCTGGATTGCATCCCAGTGGAAACAGGTCACACCATTTTAATGAATTAGTTATAATTAGCTGAGGATACAGCATTTGGTCTGGGAGATGTTAATGACCTTTTCTCAGCATGATTAATAAGGTTGATTTAAGCAGAGGTTAATGCAGTGTGTAATCAAAACACATTATGAGTATGATAAACACAAAGGATATCATCCAGAAGTTACTTCCAAAGTTCCTAAACCAAATCTAATGTGAAACCCCAAAGTGATTCACAGATACAGGAGGTAAATTCTCCTCACTGTCACTTCTGAAATCCCACAATTAAAGGCTTTTATACCTTCAGCCTTTTCATTTTAAACCAGCATATTACCAAGGTTTCTCAGGCTGTGCTGAAAACAATGGCTTATCTGAAAATTCACTCAGGAGCATCATTATTGCCTGTTTGTCCTGTTTTTTAAAGCCTGGCTTTTCCAGTTCCAGCCGTGATACAGCAGCACTGAGGTGATGAGCAATACGTGCTCATATGTACACCAAGGGACCTGTGGAAAACATCCCACCCTGGCCCTCCAGCAAACACACAGAGAACAGGGAATGCTTTGGAAAGCCTGGACTAGCCCAGGAGTAAAGAAAAAGCTACCAATAATAAGAAGGAAAATGAAACAGATCTATTGCTGCACTCTGCACAGTGCTCTAGTTCAAATATGTCCAACCCAAAGATCAAATTATCCTTGGATGAAATGGAGTACCTGAAATGGAATAACCTCTGTAATCCAGGCAAATTCTTAGTTAATTAAATAATGACTGAAGTCTATCAAGGGCCAAAAGAAAAACAGCTGAATGTAGGAGATATCCTTGCTACCTCACTTTCTTTTTTTTTTTTGGAAAGTTTCTTGCTTGCTTTCCTCCCTGATAACTGCTGTTTTCAGTCATTTTCTCTTTACAGACACACACCTCACAAACACCTCAGAAAACAAGGGAAGCAGAATTGGCATTAAAGGTTCAGAAATGGCACAGAGGAATCCTGGGTTAATTTCTGGCCAGCTTAGTTTATTGTCCCTAGACACAAAAGCATCTTAAACAAAAACACAGAGAGGAGACCTAAACCCACTGAGGGCATCCCCCATGTCTGGGGGTGTCCAGGGAAGGGGCTGGAGCCCCAGGAGAGGCTGAGGGAGCTGGGAAAGGGGCTGGAGCCCCAGGAGGGGCTGAGGGAGCTGGGGAAGGGGCTCAGCCTGGAGAAAAGGAGGCTCAGGGGGCCCTTCTGGCTCTGCACAACTCCCTGCCAGGAGGGGACAGCCAGGAGAGCCAGGCTCAGCTCCCAGGGAACAGGGACAAGAGGAGAGGATTTCTTCAAACAAACCACATCAACCCAGATGGATGCCATCAATCCAGTACACTGCAATCCCATCCAGGTCAGGAATGAGAGGTGCTGCCCATGAGCCACCCCATTTAGCTAATTAACATCCTACAGTTGCCCCAAGGCTGTGTCTACCTCAAAATCTGACACTGGCTAAAGTGTTTCAAATAGGGCCATGATGTTCTACTGAAGTGAAAGGAAAAGGTCCCTTGAACGTGGACACAGCCAGGCTGCCCTAAAAGCCAAACCATTAACCCACTTTTTGTTGCTGGGAGCTGCATCCATCTGTGGGGAGGTGGGAGCAGAAACAGGGCAGCTTTAATGATATGAATATCCTTTCAAGACCACCCAAAACACCTTTCAGCCATCCAAATCAGCTCCTTGGTTCATTTATTTCTCTCCTAATAATTCTGGCTATGTCTGGACTAAATTAAGCAGCTAACCCCGTTTAAAGCACAACCTGACAGCTTAACTGAGGTGCTCGAGAAGAAGAAGAATTTACAGGCAGGCTGTGATCCCATTCAGGAGCCCCCAGAGCATCAGGCTTAAGCACCTTCTCAGAGGCTTTGAGCACAAACCCAGAGACCTTGGGGGACCTGCTTCTCACCCCTCATGCAGATCCCTTTGAAAAATGTAAATTGTGAGGGGAAAAAAAATCCCAAACTTTTCTAGCCTCGCTTTTTATGCAGTCAAAAGACAAAATGCCATGTAGTCATCTAGGCTTGTTTTTTACTGCTATTATCTCCATATTGGGTTTTGGTGTTATTATCTCCACGCTGGCTCTGCCTAAATTCATAGACAGAGTGTGATTTCCTCCTCCATTTTAAGACATACCATTATGCAAATGTTAGTAATGCATATACATTGGTTCACACTGAGCAGTGTCATCACAGAATCACAGGATGGTTAACATTGGAAGGGACCAACTACTTCCTATCAGCCATAGAAAGCAATTTTAATGCATATACACTGAGTTTTCCTGCCTTCCAAGTGATGCTGCCAGTTACATCTTGGGAGAAATCTTTGAGAAACCACTTTTAAAGTGCTTTAAACACTCCTCCCACCAATCTTGAATCATAGAAGTGTCACAAAGCGTCCTCCAAAGCCTAACTTGCTGTACAATAACAAGCAGCAATGTTAGCATTAAGAACACATTTTCCACAATGACTTTAGCGCATTTAAATGTTCTCCAACAGAAAAATCAAGCTCAGTTTAGCAGCACAGATTTAACCACATCTACAAACATGAGGAGGTTTATATGAAATGTAGAGCTTGAAATGTTTACTGTACCAGAACTTGACTGGTTCTCAGATGGCAGATGGCAAACTGATGTGAAATGATGTGGATCAGATATTAAAGGGGGGAAAATGAGCTGAATGCAAGAGACAGAAGAAAGAGATTGATTATTAAATGCTACAGAAAAAAGGCATCTCGACAGTGTTTTTCAGGCTGAAAACTCTTACAGAAAGGAAAGAAACAGATAATAGTTCTTGCAAAAACACTCACCAACCTCCCCTTTTCCTTACACACCCCCACCCACCGCAGCAAAAGCACAGTAAGAGACCAGACCCTCAGCAGGCACCTGCTGAACCCACGGAGCTACACCAGCTTACTCCAGCCGAGGATTCAGTCCACTGAGTCACCCATCCTTACCCAAAGGAAAACATACATCCTAAAAATAAATCATTACTAATAATGTGTCATCCAGCTTCCTATTATGTCTCTCTCCAAAAATGTCATCTTTTGCTGAGCACAAAGCAGAGCTTTCACAAGCTGCAGCGCACCTGGCAGAGACGAGCGCACCGTACAATTACTGGAAACAAACGCCTTTCTCTCACCTTCCCTCTCTTTGGAAGCAAATGCAACACGTTCTCAAAGTCCCCAAAGTTAAGCTCTCAATAGTAATAAATGTTTTCTTTTCTCCTGCTGTTGTTGTTGTACAAAGCAGACTCACTTTTCAGAGCAGCACGTGACAGGAGTTGGGTCTCGCTGGCTCAGAAAACACACATTATGTAGCTGCCAGATCTGAAAGCCTGTGTTTAATTTGTCAAAGTTTCCAACTCTTTAGAGATGTAACTCTTTTTAATGGTCCAATGTCTCTGATACTTCATCTGGCAAAGAAATCCAGGTGGTTTTTCTTCCCCCCAACTCCAATGTAGATAAAAGCCTTCCCCTGTCCCCTCCTGCCACCCACACGAGGTCGGGTCTGATTCTGCAGCGCGGGCAGCAAACACAGGCACCTTCTGCTGACGGTGCTGACACTCTCCCCAGTGCCAGCCTGAGGGGAAGGAAGGAGCCATGGCACGTGCAAACAGGTCCCCTGGCTCCTGGGAAGGGGTGAGATCACCTCACCTGCCTGGCAGAGGGGGGAAGGGGCTGTGGGAGGGATGCTGGGGGCACCAGGGTGCTGCACCACCAGAGTGTGGGGAGCCCAGGGGCTGGGAGAGGGGTCCCACACTCAGCTGGGTCCCACTGGAGCCACAGAGGATGGCTGGCTCTGGGAAAGGCAGCAGCACAGGCAGAGCTCCCAGGCTCAGCCAGAGCAGGGAAGGCAAACCCCAGCCTGCTGCCCATCCCTGCAGCCACGCCAAGCTCGCTCCAGCCGCAGGGGATTTTCTGCTGCAGTGCAATTTGTGCTTTTCACTCCATACAGAGCTGGTGTCCCAGTGCAGAGCAGTCCAAGCACTGGCACAGAGGCTGCACCGATTTCCCACAGGCCCCAGGACACGTTTACCTTGCAGATCATCTCCAGCACGTCCCGGGAGGTGTCCCCAGGCCGGATGACCGTCAGGGCAGGCTGGTTGTTGGGCAGGCAGAACCACGAGGGCGTGAAGTACTCGTGCACCCAAATATCACAGTCGGGGTTGTGCTGGTGGACACTGCTCAGGGCCACTTCTTTCTCCCTCTAAATAGACAAAAATCCATCATGCCTATCCCAGCCCAACTCAGCTCCCTCTTCATCAATAACTAGGGCATGATGTGCTGCATCAGAGCCCTCCTAGACAGAAGATCTTTTGCTCCTGAGCCCAGGTTGAAGGCTTGTCTGGACAGGAACCTGCAGTTTTCCCTGAGCAGGATAGAGTGTGCCTCCTGTGCCACCCACACAGCTACACTGCTGCAGTGTGCTTCTCCTGGGATTTCACCCTATGGCCACTGGGAATGCTAGGAATGCAACAAAAAATAGTAGGGATGAAAGCAGATTTAAATTTAAAAGTGAAACGTGCTGTTTCTGGGCAAACCAATGCCAAAAAAACTGTCGTAGGTACTACAGGTACTATGCTTAGAAATGGCAAAATAGCAAATCTTAGTATTTATTCTGAATTTACTGCCTGCAAACGTGGGTGAAGGAGGCAGCTGGAGAGGGTTTTACCTTTCCATCCGGGACTGTGTCATCAAAGATCCCTTCGAGAGACTTCTTCACTGAATCAACTCCTTCTCCAAACACCTGAGGAACAACAGAGGGAATCTGCTTTAAAACAGGAGCCTGGCTCCCTGTGTGCAGCACATGCCATGGGCAGAACAGTCTGTCTAACATCCAGCATGAAATTCAAACTGAGAAATATGAACATCCATCTCCAAACACACTGCTTGCAGACATTTTTCACTGTTGCAGAAATTTGGGGTGGGGAAAACCTTCTTCAGGGTGGGTAGGTCACATCCAGCAGCCCCTCTAACCTCTTTCTGCTTGAGCTTGTCATCCAAAGAGAAATAACACAAGAACAAAGAGGTGTTTTCAGCAGAGAGGGGATCCCAAGCAGGTCAGCTCACTCCAAGTGTTGTTTTAAATAAAGAGAAGTGCTGTCCTGTGTCCCCCAGCCCCAGTTCCTCACTAGGAGCACCGCTCCTGAGCACAGGTGTGGCTTTACTGGCACAGGCACATCTTTGCACCAGTCTCTGTCCAGACCTACAAAGACCTCCACAAAGGTTTGCAGGGCACTGAGCTGGGGGACCTCTCCAACATTCCCTGTCTCTCTGCTGCAGATGCACTGGAGAAAAGGAGAACAGCAGCTGGATGGAAGAGAAGGTGAGGTGAAAAACACCTGGTTGATGGGGTGGTACAGGAAGATTAGAGGCCACTTCTGCTTGGATGTTTGTCCTGACTTCCTTGGAGGAACTGGACTAATTTTATCTCTCCTTGTGCTGGGTTTCCCCCTCAGTAAAAGTGGGAAATGAACACTTCCCCACCTCTGCCAACGCTGAGAACTCAGGAGGGCTCTGCTTCTGGCTGGCTTTCTAATGAGCCAGCTACCAAAATGTACTGAGCAAACATTCAAGCACAAGTCAGTGGAACCCTTCTCTAATGAAACAGGAGCTGGTAACCCAGCATGAGCCAGAGAGGCAAAATCAACAGCATCCCATGCAGGAGGAATGACCAAACAGGAATATTTGCGGCATCCACCCCAAATCAGCACAGGACTGCATCAGATGGGCAGGCAGGGTTGGAGCTGCAGCAGAATCCAGTACTAAAAACTGAAAAGTTCAGTTTTATAGCTCCACATCAGCACAGCTCTAGGATCAAGTTGCTGGGCTGTTTAATTATTCCCTGGCTAAAATGAAGCAGGGACCAGGCAGGATGGGAAAAGGTCTCTGCCTTTTAGGGACTTACACTTGTCTGCTTCCAATAGGCAACACTTTGCACAAGCGAGGGAAATGTGTTCAGGCACTGCATTTAGACACTCTCAATTTACTTTCTCAAAACTTCACACTTTTTACAACTCTCTTCACAAAGACTTTCCTTTAACCTGGGACAGAATCCTTCTCCATGCCTGTGCTGTGGAGGAGTGAGGGGGGCAGGAGCAGGGGAGGCAGCGTGAAGAATGCAATTATCCCCACTGAAAGGAAAAACAAAAGGGGGAGCTCAGGGCAGGGAAAAAAAGGTTTGAAAACACAGCACAGGCAGGATCCCAGCTCAGGACAAGGGATTTGGGGCAAGAAAATACAAAGTGATGGGGATGCTGCAGCACTGGCACAAGGAATTGGGAAGGTGCTCACGGAGCTGCATTCCAGCCAAACCCTGGGCTTTTGCTCAGCCTCTAAATATCAGGTGAACTTTTAGTGTCTCGCTCCAAACAAGCTGAACAATTCCACAGCCTTCATCCTCTGCTGAACAAAACAAACACCCACTGCTGCTTGAACAGACAGCACAAGAAATCACAGGGCACACAACAACGTGTGTCCCCAGCTTTTCTCCAAGAAGTGAGAGAAGAGAAAGAAAGGCAGAGCCCACATTTCCTGCAATTAGATGAGGTATGGCTCTCAAAAAGTGAAAGCTGTAATTAGGGATGTTTGGGAAGAATAACAGGGAAGCACCTTCCTACCACAGTGGAACACAGAGAAAGATCTGGGCAGTGACTGGGTGGAAACAGCACAACTTCTCCTTTTTTATAAATCTGAAGCAAAACAGGGAGTGTCCTGACTGAATGCAAAGTTTCTTGTCACTTTAGGAAGTTTTCAGAAAACTCAGCTATATTTAAAGCATTGTACAAATTAATCATTTTAAATTAAAAACAACCAAGCAAGTCTGGATTGTTTTGGGGTTTTTTTCTCTTCAAAGCTGTATCTGTTGTACACTGCTGCTTTGTTGCTCCTGAGATTGGGGAAGGCACCTCCAGGAAAAGCAGAAGCAGCAGAAATGCAACAACAGAATTCAGCTAAAGAAAGGGCAAATTCCAAACCTGTGATAGGAGCTGCTGTGCACTGATGTGCAGCTGCAGCCCCTGATTTGTGAGGGGGATGAGGAATGTGGTGATTCTGTGCCAGTGACTCTTTGTCGCTGCATTCTGCCCGCTAACAAACCGACCTTGCAAATACCAGTACCCCGAACCTGCACCTGCTTACCTGGTTAATGCTCGGCCTCCCTTGCTTCTTCTTCGAGGTAGTGTCTAGCCCCCAGAGAGAAGAAAACCTGCTCCTCCGCTTGCTGGCAGACCTGGACATGGCCTGTGTCCTTCTCCTCACGCCCGACTCCCCCGTGCGAGCCGCCACCTGTCGATGCCACATGGCTTCAGGATCAGCAGCAGCCCCACAACACACCCCACACCAAACTGGGGGCTGGGCTGGGGGAAAGGGCAAATCCTATGGCAACCAAGGGCTCTCACTGCTGGGACAGTGGGGATGCTGTCTTACTGCAAATTAACTGGCTTCTCCCAACATCAAATATTGAAATGGACACTACACGCCACCTCCATCATTTTTTGGCATTTAATGTGAGATGTTTTAAAGCAGCCTAATCAACATAGAGAAAAACCTCAACATCTGTGAGGGGTTTGAATTTTTTCTTTTATTTTTCTTTTCCTAGCAAGATTTCAAAGCTGAAGAAACCTGAGATTCCCAGACTTATCTGTTGCTTCCCAAAAACTCGGTTTTCCTCTTTGCTCTTTCCTGTGGAAGCACTCTGGGCATCCTGGTGCTGACTCAGAAGAGCAGCAAGGCCAGATAAAAGCTTGCAGGCAGGTCATGGCATTTAAACCTGCACTTCCTTAAAGATAAGTGACATCTGAAGGGCTGAGCAAGGCACAGGAAGGGGAAAAGTGAGATGAAATGACCCTTCCCATCAGAGCAGTGTCAACTACTCGGCAAAATGCCCTGTGGCAAGAAGAGCCATTTGCCTTTTTTGATCCCAGCTACCTGGGGAGCGTTTCCCAGGCCAGGAAGCTGTGCAGGAGATCGGTGGGACATTACTCAGAGCTGAAGTGGTCAGGCCCAAGTCGAAGGAGATTTCCCATGGGGAGGTGGCCTGAGGAGAGGAGCTCCTCAGGCCAAAAAGGGAGTGGTAGAACAGCAGGTATGAACGGGAGGCACAGCCAAGCCAAGCAGCCAGCCCCACCCTGCTGACTGCACCTCCTGAGCACCTCAGTGCTGCCTTCCCACAGCCCAGCAGAGTGGCACTTTGTCATCTCCACAGCGACATCTCCATTCCCACAGCCCAGACCGTGAGAGCTCCCACGGCTCCACCTGGGACATTTACACAGGGCTACCTGGGATAACTTAGCACAGCCTTGGATCAATGTACTGAGGAACATCTGCAGGAGATTTGGCTCATGGAATCACAGAATGATTTGGGACAGAGGAGACCTCAAAGCCCATCCCACCCCACCCCTGCCATGGCAGGGACACCTCCCACTGTCCCAGGCTGCTCCAAGCTCCAATGTCCAGCCTGGCCTTGGACACTGCCAGGGATCCAGGGGCAGCCACAGCTGCTCTGGGTAAATTCCCTCCCTGAAACTTGAGTTAGGGTTTCTAACATGAGGTTGCATTTCCCCTCGTTCCTGGGGGCAAAGGAGGACATGAGAGTTTGCTGAGAAGAGAACACGTGTCTCTTCCAACACAACATTTTCAAAACATATTTTTTCCCTTGGCTCTCCAGAGACACCAGCATGAAGAGACAGACTGTTTTTCAGCCTAACACTCAGTGCTTTGCTTGATGCAAAAAAAAACCCCAGCATAAATGCAAATTACAGCCCGCCACTTAAAAAATATAATAAATCCACCAGCAATTAGCAGATGATGACGCTAATCTTTTCATATAGGAAAGAATAAAAACGCCCCTAACTGAATTACAGCTCTGCATTCAGCTGAAGGGTACAGCTGACATCTACAAGACAACAGTGGAGCTCAGCTATTTCTGAGAAACTCCAGGAGTCCAAGCTGAAACTACAAGAACTTAAATTCATTAAAACCCCAGCACTTTGCAGAACATTTCCCTGTACTTTTAAGAGCTGAGTTGTTACAATACTTCAATTTAAACAACCATTATTTGCCACACCTTAGGTAGCAGAGAAGAACATTTCCCCTCCCTGGAGGAGCATCAGGTGTTGATGACCAGAGGGTGGATAGTGGAGTAATGGTCAGTAGTTCCATCCATACGGAAGTCAGACATACTTGAGAAGGTCTCAGCCAGCAAAGGCTGAGGGTCTCAGAGCAGCTCCACTGTCTTCACAGGATGTGTGGATCAAGCCCAAATTCGTGGGCACTTGAGATGACCCTGCTCTTTTAACAGTCATGCCTTAAGTTTTAGCTTTCATTTCTCCCAGATTCTGCACTGCATTTGTGTGTGACTCTGAACTTCATATAGAGTGTCAGCAAGTTCTCCTCACGGCTCAGGCAGACACAACAATCCTTTTCCAGCCCCAGAACCAAGGACACCATTGCAGCCTCAGGCCCAAAATGTATAAACAGCAGTGAACTGAGGAGAGCAATCTGGGAGGATGGGACTCCATCACCTGAAGCTGTAATTGGACAATTAAATGTGGAAATGGACCAAAACTTTTAAAAGCGTGAAAACTCATGACTCAGAGTCCATCTTGGCTGGAGCCACAGCCCAAGGTGCATCCTTTGAAGGTTTTCTAATAAACACCTACTTTATTCCTTTAATTCCGTCCTGCCTCTGTTCCAGGTAGCCTCTCTAGGCACCAACAGGAAAATCTGTCGATGGTGGAAATGCAAAATGACACGTACAGGTCGAAGAGGCAGCAAGCAGCAGCTCCTTCAGCCACCCCCAGCCCCTCTGGGAGCAGGATCTCTGATCCCTGACCCTGCAGCACCCAGCCCTGCCCGTGCCCACTCACCAGAGCGTGGAAGGACGACACAGAGAAGATGCCCAGGCGGCCCATGGCCACCTTGGTGGGGCGGCTGGCGAAGGCCAGCAGGCGCTTGGGGTTGGGCAGCTCCCCGCCCTGCAGGCTCGCCAGGTAACAGCGGTACCGGAACAGATCCATCTGGAACTGCTCCAGGTTCTGCTCCCACACGAAGATCTGGGTCCGGCCAAGGTTCCAGAGCGAGGGGAGAGAAGGGGAGAAGAGGCTGGTAAACGCCTTGAAAAAATTCCCAGCAGCACATCCTTTTCACCAACGCTCATCTCACTCAACAAACCCCGATTCCTGATTTTCCCACTCTCCCCCGCCCTCCCAACCCCCCAAAGGATGCAAATATTAAGAGTTTTCATTAGATGGAAAACAACTTTTTCTACATTCATGGCAGAAGTCTCCTCCTGGGACAACCGCTCCTTTGATACAATGCTAATTAACAGGATTAAAATTTCATTTTTAATTTTCTTTGTATTTCCAGGATTCTCTGCTCAGCAGTCCCTTAGGAGGCTTTTTTCATGCATCAAGAGCATCTGAGGAACCAGAAGAGCAAACCCCACCAAACTGCAGGCACAGGGCATCCCAAATCAGCAGCCACCGCAGCAGCTTTGCTGTGAGCAACAACAGAGCTTGAAAAAGTGCCATACACTGGGGATAATTAATCTGATCAGTGGAAGAGTGCTGTAATCAGCCTATGGAAGGACTTATTTAAATAATTCAAATAGCTTATAGGAAGCAGTTTCAAAGCATCCAGACAAACTCAGTTACATAAAGAGACTGCTCTGCCCTCTCACTGTGACTGACAGCTTTGAGTGGAGCTCTTTAGCATCTCCCTCCCCTTTCTCCCCTATTTCCCCTTCTCACGGGCTTCCAGGGGTACAAATCTCTTTAGCTCAGCCCCAAACACTTTCCATGCCTTACATTACACACTTGGCAGCCGTGGTAGCAGAGCTCCAAATGAGGGAAGCAGGAGCCATATGTTAAGCTTCCCAAAATAAGGCGCTGCTGCAGCAGTGGGAGAGACATCTGCTCAAGGCTCTCTGCTTCTGAAACCCAGCCACGCTGTCCACTTGATGGCAGGAGGAGCGGGCCCAGGGGGAGCCAGGGATGCAGCCACAAGGTCAAGGCAGACCCTTGTGACAAGCAGAAACCAGGCATGGCTTCTTCAGGCCAGCTGCCAGCAGAAGCAGCAGTGTTTGTTGGTGTGTGAGCAGCTGTTCCCCACGGCACCCTCCAGCTGTGGCCTGGCAGCCTCCTCAGTCAACCTCCTGCTATCCAAATCTCCTGGAGGCCAGCAGAAAACAGCCCATTCTGGATCTTAGTGGGGAAATGGTGCAGCTAAGGCAGCCAGCCCAGCTCTCCTGCTCCCACCTGGCTCCAGGGAGCTCACATCAACCTCTGAAAGGCCTTAAACCCTCGCTAGGGACTAATTTCACATGAGCAAGAGCTTACCTGATCCAGTATGGTCTTCTTCTTCTTGGAGTCTGTGACAGAGGACAGCTGCATTTCACCCATTTTCTTCATCTTCTCGTCCATGTCTATCTTCTGCTCCAGCTTTTTGATCTCTGTTTTGAGCAGCTTGACCGTGTCCTCCTTGTGGTGCTGCCGCGCCACGGCGGTGGCACAGGCCGAGTGGATCGCCGTGATCCAGTTCTCCAGCTCCGTCTGGCTGCATGTCTGCACGCAGGGAAAGAGGGCAGAGGCACTCAGGATCCTCTTTGAAACTGATTGCAGATTAACAAATGCAATTCCAAGGAGTTTCCTTTCCCTTTGATCTCAAGATTCAAAGCCTTAAATCCACTTACTCCTGTCGAAGTAATCACCCCCCATCATCCATAAGCAGGGCATTTTTAACTCAGCACCAGGCACTCAGCACTTGGAATTACACCTCTATCTGTGCTTTGCAGCTGTGGGTGCTTCCCAGCAAGGCCTCAGGAATTAGCTCCCTGGCTCAGTGCTGCCATAATTTCTAGCTTGGCATTTTACCATGATTTCTAAACTCCAGTTCCTTAAGGCAGGGAATGCACCACCGCTGTGCTCTTCCCAGGATGGACAGCTTTTCTGGCATGCAGCAGTTAATCATAAATTAATAATAAATTAAAAGGTGACCATGAGAAGTACGAGTAGCTCTACTATGGTGCACAGACAAACAAGCTTTCTGTTTCTGAAGGTCCCAAAGGTCTCTGGAGACACCTCTGTTACCATTAAAGGCTCATCCTCATTTTCACAGCTCTGGCTGTGTCCCTTCCCAAGCATGGATATGGCAGTTTGGGAAAAGGGTACGTTTCTCCGTGCTGGAAGTGTCCAAGGCCAGGCTGGACAGGCCTTGGAGCAACTTGGAATAGTGGGAGGAGTTCCTGCCCAAGGCAGGGCGTGGAACTGGATAATCTCTAGTGTCCCTTCCAGCCCAAAGCACTCCATGAGACACCAGGCTGGAGCATGGGACACCAGTAGTGTTTTCTGGAAGAAAACTGTTCTGATTAGAGGCTTTTGACATACAAAGAAGAATCTTTCCAGATTCTTCTTTCCAGATTTTCAAAATAAAAAGTCAATCCTCTTAAGGCCTCTTACTAAACTCCATTCCTTTTTACAGTAGGTCATAAAACAAACCTTCCAGCCAGCTCAGGGTTGCAGAGGACTTTCTGTGAGAGTCAGCCTGTGGCAATAATCACACTGGTATTTGGCTCCTGGCTGGAAAAGTAGCAAGGTGCCAAAACACCCTGTTCTAATTAAACTTTCTGATGATGCTGATCTATTAATAGACAGCCCAGCATGACTCCACCATTTGCTGGAGAAGATGAGGAAGGTCACCCTCACTGAGGTCACAACCGACAGCCACGGATGAAGCTAAGGAGAGCTTCCCAGAGAAGCCCAGCTGGCCTTCAGACTGATGCTCCCCAAACTTCTGTGGTGCTGAAACAAGTGGGACACAGCTGTCCCAGAATGACACCACTTTCCTCACTCAGGCTAGAAGCCCTAAGCACAAACAGGACCTGCTCCAGGACTGACCTCCTCCTTCCCAATTCCCTCGGCTCTAGCTGGCACTGTACACAGGATACAGCTGAAAAATGGTCAGGCCCTCTGCCCAGGCAGTAGCACCAGCAGGCTCTCATTCCGCTGCTGAGGATACTGTGAATCCCTCTAGCTGGAATTATCTGCCAGAACAGGAGACACTTTGCCCACTGTCAGGTGGTGAAACCTCATCCCCAGCAGAGAAGAGATCAGCACTGGGCTTAGAATGAGATGCTGTGTTTGTTAATTCCTAGCAAAATCCTAACAGCGTTTGCTGACTTATTACATTTCAAAGCATTATCTGCATACAATTAGATTAATTTTTCTTCTGGGTTTCCTGGGGAGAGGGAGGGAAAAAGGGGTCTGGAGTGGATTTTAGGAGCTGGACCCAGCCCTAGGTGGGTGATGGGAATCAGTGCCCTTCTCAAGGGCCAGGATGACCCAAGCAGGCTGCAAGCACCTGACACACGTGGGTGCTGTCCCAAGCTGCTGTGAGCTGCCAGCACACACAGCGACACGTGCCAGGCTGGGTTTGTGTGGGCACAGCCGGAGCTGCCTGAGCGCTGTGCGAGGATGGGGGGTGCCTCTGGGGGCACTGCAGTGGGCAGGCTCCTTACCAGCTCTCCAGGATGTGTGAGATCACAGCCAGCCCTGTTTTCCACAGTGCAGAAATAGCCTCCTGCAGGGCTGTGCCTGTCCTTGCCAAACCCGCTCCTACAGCTCTGTGCTGGCTGGGGGCACTCTCGGGACATCCCCTCCTTCTCTGCCCCGTGGCAGAGGGGACACATCACAGAACCTTTCTGGCAATAGAAATGACTGGGTTTTGCTTGAAAAGGCTCAGTTTTGCTTCTTCCCTACACAAAAACCTACCTGTGGCATAACGACACCAGGCTCCTAGAGAATAAGCTTTGGGGTGATCTCACTGGGCCCCTCCAGTCTGGGAGCCCACAAGAAAGACAGAGAGGGATTCTTTGTAGGGACATGGAAGGACAGGACACAGGGCTTCCCACTGCCAGAGGGCAGGATTAGGTGGGATATGGGAAAGGAATTCCACATGTGAGGGTGGGCAGGCCCTGGCACAGGGTGCCCAGAGCAGCTGTGGCTGCCCCTGGATCCCTGGAAGTGCCCAAGGCCAGGTTGGACACTGGGGCTTGGAGCAACCTGGGACAGGGGAAGGTGTCCCTGCCCATGGCAGGGGGTGGAACTGGATGAGCTTTAAAGTCCCCTCCAACCCAGGCCATTCTGAGGCTCTGTGATTCCCTCTCAGCTGGAGGAAGGTGTGCAGGTGCCAAAACACACATCCCCTTCCCAGGGAAGACGTGAAGGAGAGAGGGACAGGGGCACTACTACAGAAGGAGCTGAGGAAAAATCCCATTGAGGTGTCAGAGAAGTTAGTCCACAAAAAAAGATGGGTCAGACACTCAGTCCCTCCAAGAATCAGAAGGGCTTTTTTTTACACGAGTTTAAGAATCCAGCCTTTTGCGAGTACAGCTGCAAGGGCCTACAACACAGCGTAATTTTAATTTTTTTGCTCTGGAATACAGGGGAGTGATGATGTGGGGACACATCCTACCCCAGAGCAGCTTCTGGTTTGAGAAGGCAAGAAACTCCATTGTCATTGGAAAGAGAAGTAAAGGAATTTTTCCAGAGGAAATGCACCTACCTCAGCATGTTCTGCCAATTGCAAATAACAGAATGTCACACTCTGCTTAGTGCCAGCTTGACATAAAAAAGGGGATGACAACCTAAAAATCACTCAGGGAAGCATTGGTTACCAAATTACAGAAATCTTTTCAAGTGAAACACACCAACTAATGGATGGTCTTTGATGTAAGTCCTGGGAATTTTTTTTAAATGTACCCAGCAAAATTAAGACATTTCTCTTTCCTGATTAAATTCCTGCACTTCCAGTCTCTTCTTGGGCAGCAGCAAAATGCATGAACAAGGGGCAGCTGGATTCTGTAGCCCCTCTGGGAGAGCACCTGCAGATCCAGACATCCCCTTGCACTTCCTACTGCTCTTGTCATCCTCTCCAGCCTCTCTGCAAGGCCCTCCTTTGACACGGGTCTTTTACAAGACACAGAGAGTGGCACAGCACATTTAATGCCCAGCTGGATGTCCTGTGTGGTGACAGGCTTGGTCTGTGTGTTTGAAGCATGCTGCCCAAACAGATCTTATGGCGATGCTGGGGCATTTCTTCATTCTCTGCCCCAGCCATCCACACAAAGAGGGTCCAGCCAGTTATTAAAAAAGCAGATTTGACACTGATCATGTTCAGATTGTGTCCTTCCAAAGGAAAACCCCAAACCTACTGGAGTCAGCAGGACTTTCCACTGATCTCAACCAGAGCTAAGATGTCCTCCTGTCTGGGAGACAGAAAAAAACTTGGCAAAAACCAACCTGGAAGAGGAAAGCGTCCCCAAGGGAGTTGCTGAGGCAGAAGACAAAGTCCTTCTTGGGGTGCTCAGGCACGGCTTGCACGATGCTGTTCTCCACCCAGACAGCGTGTTTGGGGATGCTGTTGTGGTCAATGCCAGACCTGCCATCAGTCTCGTAGAAGAACAACGTGCAGCCTGCAAGGGACAACAAGCAGCACATTCAAATGCTCTGCTGGTTTTAATGGCAAGCAGGCACACCACGAGCCACAGGGCACAGTGAACCCTGACCCAGGGCTGTTTTGTTCCCCCTGAGTTTTGTTCTCCCTAGGACTGCCAAAACAGAAGGTCACAGGCAGTAAAATACACTCCCGGATGAGTAACATCATAAGAAATCACAAGTTCGGGCTCATGGCCACCCCATGCCTGAAATTCTGGTCCCCTGAGGGTGACAATCAGCTGTGAGCCAGCCCTGGGAGCAGACAGGCCCCCGGGCATGGCCCAGCCTCAGCCTCTGCAGCTGCTGCTACAGTCCCTGCAAGGCTAAGATCAAGCCATTTAATTACTGGATGCAGACAGTAACTGGAATTAAAATGGGCTGGGGTGAGCTGTGCTTGCTGAAAGACTGATGGACAAAAAAACTTAATTGGGGACACCAAACAACCTGCTCGGTGTTGCAAAATAATCTCTACAATCCTCCCGGGGAAGAAAAACAAAGTATAGAGCAAGTGTACAATTTGGGAGATTCCAAAAAGAAAAGGGTCTCCACCTCTCCCACCTTCCCACATTATATCCAGTTATTTACAGGCTGGCACGTAGTTGCTGTGTCACTGGAAAGGGATGCTCTGGTACCCAGCCCCTCAGAAAACAATTTGCAGCCAAACAATGGCAGCTGCTCACTTCAAAGCCTCAGTTAAACACTGCCAGTACCAGGGCACAGCAATCCAAGGAGTTAACACTCCACTTGAGCCAAAGCACTTCAAAACAAGATCCCTCCCCTGCTCATCCTTCCCCTTTCTTCTCCCAGATGGCCCTTTGTTTGCCTGCTCCTCACAGCAAGACCTTCCTGCCCCCTTCCCAGGAGATGAGGGCTGCCCCTCACCTCCCCTCTCTCATTTCCCCAGCTCTCCAGCCACCCCAAGCAAGAGCTGGCTCCAAACTTTGCTGATGGCCTTAAAATAGCGCTGCAAATGAAAAATAAACAAGCGCTCTAGGAAGAGCTCTCTGTGGGGAGGACAGGGTTTGAGCACACTGAGCCTTTTGAGTGACCCCACCTAAAGCAGAAGACACGGCTCTGCCTCTGCTGGCTCCAGCCACAGCAGAGCAGAGGGAGGCCAGCCCCAAAACTGTGGCTTCCAGTTTCCTTGCTGATGAAGCACATGAAGGTGAGTTTGAGAGCATGTGCCTAACAGCGACTGCAACAACCCGGAGAGAAGAGGGTCTGTGGCCCAGCAGCCGAGGAGGGAGCGGGGCAGCTGGGTGGGTACAGGTGACACAGCCAGAGCCACACATCAGCCTTGATGACCAACCACAGCCTCCTGTCCACCCCGCAAATGTGCTGCAACCCTGAGTGTTTATACTCATGAAGCACCTCCCAGGGAAGGAGAGGTATGGGAGGGACGCAGAGCGTGGCAGAGGCCTCGTGTCATTGTCACCACCATGGTGTGCCTGCGGTGGCACACGGGCATTCGTTCAGCTGCCAGCAAGCCATGGACACACTTCTCCAAGGGAACCATCCCTGGGTGGTGCCAGCAGGGCTCCAAGTAAGCTATGAACCTCACTGCCATGCCTTGGACTACACATGTGCCACGGCTGAGCACATCAACGACCAGCACCCAAAAAACCAGCAGGGCCGCTTCCCCGCACTCCAAGTGAACGATACTGAAGATCACGGCAGCTTTTGTTCCGAGTCCAGGCCCCTGGTCTGGCCGCCCCACCGGACCCCAGCCCGCTCTCCCCGGTACCTTTCAGGGACACCCAGTAGTGCTTCCACTTCCTGCGCGTGGCCGACTCCACCTTCTTGTTCTTCTTGTGCACCAGGAAGTTTTTGACGGCCAGGGCGCCGGCCTTGCGCACGGTGCCCTGCGCGGCGCTCAGCAGGATGTCGGACTGGCCGGGGGAGCTGAGGGTGCCGCTGCTCTGCTCGTCGCTCAGGGCCGAGCCTGCCTCCTCCAGGTGCTCGCTGTTGGTGGTGCTCATCTCCAGCTCGCGGCGGAAGTTCTCGTAGACGCCCTGGCGCAGACCATCGCCCGCCGAGCTGCTGCCGCTGTCGCTGCCGATGAAGGCGCGGCCGGCGGGCGGCGAGTAGCTGGCCGTGGTGGCGTTGGAGCGCCGCGACAGCAGGTCCGTGTCCGTGGCTGCGCCCTCGATGCCGCTGTCGGTGAACTCGCTGCCCTCGCCCGCGTTGACGTCCTGGCGGAGAGAGAGACGTGGGGTGAGGAGGGGAGAGCGTGGCCGAGGCCCTGGGCCTGCCCGGGGGCACCGCGGTTCTTCACACCTCCGTTTTTCCTAGCAATGGGAATCCCTCAGCCCTTCTCCACGCTAGGACAACTGGAGGAAAAGGTGGGGTAGTGACAAAAGGGCACCACAGCTGTCCTGGGACAGCACAGAACTCTCCACCTTGGAGAGAAAGGTGGCTTCATCACCTTCCATGTGCCACGAATCTCCCTGCAGCTTCATGGGGACAGCTGCATTCTCAACATTTAACATCTCACAGCTCCAGGGCTGTGTTTCCCCACTGCTGCAGGAGTCCCTGTGGGTCCACACTTTGCCTCAGGGGCATCTAAGGCAGGATTCCTTCCTTCTGGAGACCAACAACTGGAGGAAAAGGTGGGGTCGAGGCAGAGCTTCCAGAACAGGTTAGGAAAGACCAGTCACACATGCACTGCTCCAGGTGGTGCCTCCGCGGCCTTGGCAATTTGGAATATAAGATGCAGCATCATCTGTTTACATTAAGCCAAGTTAACAGTGCTAAAGGTTTTGCAAAAGGAGAACATATGGTAGCAAAAACTGGCAGCGTTGAGAAAAGCAGCGCCCAACCTACGCGTTTTGAGGAGAAAACATTGATATTGTGCATTCACACCTCCAGCTGAAGATACATTTCAGACACCCCAAGGCCAACCTTTGAAAATTATGTAACTAAAAAGGTTCTTTTTTTTTTTTTTCCTCCTGACAGGTTAATGTGGTTGAGATTATTTCTGTCCTCATCACAAACCGTAATGATGTGCCATATGATATTCCCCACCAAATCCCACAGACCCTTCCTGGTTCCCAGGAACTTGCAGTGCAAGGATCAGAAGAGACAAGATTACAGCCAATTTGAGCAAGACAGGAGAAAACCCCATTGAATTGGGGTTTTGAAGCCTGTGACTCAGCCTGCCCCCTGCTACAAGGCCAATCCCCCCAGGCGGATACCCATCACCGCCTCGGTATCTACAGGCATCTGTGGCAGATTTTGGAGGACAAACAAAGGCCAAACCCTGTAAATGGAAACAAACATTTTAGGCACTTGAGCAAAGAGGATGCAAAGAAGTGAGAAATATGGCCAAAACCAACAGTGATTTCAACCTCTACCTCTCCTGCAAGAGCAGCAAGCTCTTGATTCACAAGTTTAAAAAAAAAAATAAAAAAATATGGGTCTCTGAGAAGAGGTAGCAGAATGGAGTATTTATTTTGAGAGAAAACAAGCTTCCAGATGTTGGTTCAAGCACCAGTTTTCTTTGTATCCAAGAGCAGCTCTGTGGAAACAAAGAAACTCTCCATCAGCTCAGTGTGAAATCATCCTCCTGCGGAGCAAGGGCTGGCTGGGGAGAGCTTAGGGGCAGGGGAAGGGCTGACTAACTTTTAAGGCATTAATTTGCAATGGATGGGCTCGTTCTTTATAAACACCGCTTCCCAAGGGACACTTGGAGTCCAGCTGGAAGAATAAGCACTTCCTTCCCCGCTCAATGAGCACAGTTCTGCTGGTCCATCTGGTTATTTAATGCAGCACACAGTGACAGACAGGCTGCCCTGGCCAGGCCAGGACTGCTCTGCTCCTCCATGTGCGAAAGGGATGAGCAGGGTTTCCTGGAAGTACAGCCCTGTCCCCACCCAGAGCAGCTCTCACAGCCACACGTGGATCCTGCTGTTCCAACACTCTGGGTTTTGGGAGGCCAATTACCTTCTCACTCTGTGCAAAGGAGGACTATCTGGCGAGGGGAAGGGAGATAGGATTTGTAAGGTTACAGCCTTTCAGATGACCTTGGTGAGACATTGTTTTAGCTGCCTCAGTCTCCCTGTCAATAAATGGGGCTTATACTCTGTAACTAACATATGAGTGTATCAGCTTATAAAAAAAAATTACTTTTAAAAATCCCTCAAGGATGGAGATCTCAGAGTAAATATAGTTGTTATACTTGCTCATGAGGTTAAACCATGGCACATTTTGCAAAGATCTCTACAATCTTTATCACAATGTGAGTGATAGGCTGGACTCGTCAAAAGACCTTTTCAGTGTAATGTTACAGCCCTGCCTCTAATCTCCCTCTGCTCCTTGCCCTCCCTTTTCCACTTCTAAACACTCCTTCTCAAGACTTGTGGCAGAGGTTCCACTGGGCTCTGGGACCCCTGGCACTGCGGGAGGGCCCAGAGGAGCAGCACCATTCCTTACTCTGGCAGTGCTGCCGTGTGCCTGGAGGCGCCCAGGAGGCTCAGCAGACATCCTGACGGGACAGAGGAGGGAGAGGTGGAATGCCCAGTGCCACAGAGATCCATCCATCCGTGTGGGACCATTGTCAGCACCGAGGCCACGTGCCAGGGCAGCCCTAGGAGCAGCCCTGTGCAATGAAGTGGAACGAGTTATCACAGCCCCATCAAGAGCAGAGAGCAACTGAACTGCTGAACCATCTGGGGAAAGTGCCACTGGAAGTATTAGCAACCCACTCAAATACAGGGTTTCTTCCTCACATCAACACTGTGTTTCAGGCAAAACAAGGCAGTGGGGAATAAAACTGCAATGCAAAAGCTACATCAGGCTAATGCACCTGCTGCTGTAGTTTCTGCATGTGCTCTTATGGTAACCCATACCTCTGCTGCAGCCATACCTGTTAAATAATTTTGGCTAAATTTAAAAGATAAGCATAAAAAAAACCCCTTTGCTTTAGGAAAAATGTCTACATTCAGCTAGCAAAAATCAGGGGAGGAGTTTTGGGACAGGTTCCAAGTGTCCCCATGTTGAACATACCTGGCACTGGCCTCTGATGGAAGGAACCAGAGGATGGGACAAGCCTTGTCCAACTCTGGCTCATGACTGGGCACACTTGGAGCACCTGCAAGAGCTGCACTTCCCACACTTCCCACCACCAGTCCTGCCACGGACACTGACAGGCCCTGGTGAATCACCTTCTCCTGCCCCAACGACAGCACTGATTCATGGGCACTTGGGGGCTGGTTTAGTAGGAAAAATCTTACTTCTATAAATATAAACAGTTCCTCTTGGTTAAAGCCCTTTCTAAATGATCCATTAAATTAAAAGTACAGCTGAGTGGGGGTTTTCCTCAGAAGGGGCTCCCTCCAAGCCAATGCATATCCTTTGTTCCCTGTCCTGTTGAGCAACAGAGCAATCAGATGCTCACACTCAGCAAGAGTGATTGCACACAACCTGTCTGGCTGCTCCTGAGGCAAGCACCTCAGCATACATTTCAAATGGGCGAGCAGCCTGATGGTTTGCATGCTTTTATCTGACTGGTGTCCCTTTGAAGCTCCTATGTGGAAAAAGATTGGCCTGATAAGTGTTTTTCCTTTCTTTTCAGTACTCACTCTGCCATCATTTGATGGTCAAGGTTTGCTCGCTGCAAACCCAAATTGAATCTTTTCTCCACAGTCATGTCAAGAGGCAAAGATAAATCCTAAACTGCAACTGAAACCTGAGTGGGAGAAATGGTTTAATTCCTACTTCTGTGCACTCACTCCACTGGGGCAGCAGCTCTTGAGATGTCTGAAAGAGTCAAAATTTTTAAGAAATTAAATTTAGAAAAAACAAAATAAACAAACGCTTGCATGTGTCATTAAAGCTGCTCAGGGTAGTTTAATAAGCAAACAGGTTTGGGTCACGGTTCTCTGAAATCGAATTTGCCCCTGACAAAAAGGGACTAGCCCAGACCTCCAGATACCTCTCCTGGCAATAAACTGCAGTCTTATTACGAAAGGATGAATCACAGCCACAGGTGTCTGGGCAATAATCCCTGGGAAGGTCTTAGGGCACGGATTTCAGTGGATCTGGACCAGGATTCCTTCGTGAGCTCATTGTGGTGAATGCTTGCAGTGTAATTTGGCACCCTGGAAGGACAGAAGAGGAGCCCAGGAGACACTGGGATCTGGGAAGGAGATGTGCATGCCTTGTGTTCCTGTGGGACAGCAGGCAGCAAACACCACTGTGCTGGGGTCTGCAATGCCCAGATCTGCAGGCAGCAGCTGGTCCCTCAGGACCACCCTTGGCTCCTTCACTCCATGCCGAGCTGCCACCTCAGCTCTAGGCAGCGAGGCTTGGCAGCATTTTTGGTTCACTGATTCCCCAGATGTTTTCCAGCCAATACCTGGGCCCTTGCAGGAAGATCATCCCTGTGCTTCCCCAAGGAAGCTTTCTTACCTTAGATGCCCTAAAGGCAAATCACGGACACACGGGGACTCCTGCAGCAGCAAGAGTACAGCCCTGGAGCTGTGAGACATAAAATGTATGAAAATTATCCCCACCAGCTCCTCCGTGGCTCTAGCACTGACTTTGGAGGGGTACTGAAGTCCCTAATTCCATGAAGGAGAATCTGGCCCTAACCCAGTAAAGGCTTTTGCAGTGTGATCCCTGCCTGCAGCTCCCGACACCTGCACGGATCCGGGGTGAGTTCCCACCTTCCGTCCCCTCAGTTCTCGGGTGCTGTAGTGTTTAATGCCTCTGTTCCCAAAGCATACACTGAGGAACCCCCAAACCTACCCTGCTTTCATCCCAGTGGACCACCCAGCTGAAGGAAGTTTCTAGAGGAGCTGAGTTAATCATAAACTAATAAAAGCAGCCGAACTGTGCTCGAGTTAAACCAAGGGCAACGTGCCATCAAAATCCTCCCTGTTAAATTAAAATACAGGGTTGGGTTACTTTTTGTTTGCTGAAGCCAAGAAGAAGAAAAGCCAAGCAATTCTTCCTGAGAAATGCAATAGAGAGGGTAGAAATGGGGGCCAGCTGCTAGAACAGCATCATCTGGGAGGAATTCACCTGAACAACCACCCAACCTAAGGAAGCAGGGAAATGCATTTCCCTGCCTGTCATCAGGGATGATAACCAGACACAGCATCACACGCTGAGGGTGTCTGAAAAGGAGCATTTCAATGGAGCACTTCACTGGAAAGGAGCACTCCTGCAAATTGCATACATGTAAGTAAGC